GTCTCTTCTCGGCTTTGTGATCAATATCCCATGTTCACGGCAAGAAACCCATGAGGTGGGGCGACCAGATGCACGCTCAGTAACACACATAACAGCTCTTCCCCCGGAACCGTAAACACCCTGATTGTTGGTTTCGCCCGCTGCGCCTGCATCTTTAACCCTCCTGGTGCCTTACACAGTGGTTTGTACATTGCGGCACGCAAGTAAGCGTTGCTGAGCGTACCAGCACAAGTTAAGCACAAGGGCATTGCTGTTATATAACGCGGTGGTCACACGGCTCTAGTTAGGAGTGAGGAAGGTGGTCTTTGCACAGGGTTTCCAGGAGCAGTAGTTGGCTTTTGATGGGGGGGGGGAGAGAAGGGCTGTGAGTTCCCGGGCAGAGGAAACGGAGCCAGGTGCAGAGGCAGGACGGTTGGTGGCAGGACAGAGTGCAGCGGACACAGGCCAGCCCGGCCTGCGGAATCGGGCATCCTGGGGTGACCTCATGACACCCACCATCAAAAGGAGGCCAGCTCTCACGAGTCAGCCTTTGCAAAAGCTCTCATCTCCATGCCCACAGTATTCTCTCATCGCCATAACAACCATACCCCAGGCGGATCGTGGTCAGCCCCAGAATGCCCTGCAGCCTTTGGCCCACCGGCCAGCCAGTCCCTGGGGGCGAGACCACGCCCCTCCCTCCTGCCCTGCATCCCCGCCGTCTTGTGAATTTCAGCCTCAGGTCCCGTTCTGAGCCCTACAGTTTACTTGCAAACAAACAGGCACTTTTGGGGCTTTCATTGGTGATTTCCCCTTGGCCTTGAATCTTCTGCTCTAAGAGTACGCCCATCCCCTGATTTTGTCTACCTGCAACAAAGGACCAGCCCCACAAGCCATCTGCCAGCAGGAGGGGAGAGGGCGGGCAGAGAGCGTGGAGGGGACCGTGAGGCACAAACTTGGAGAGTGCTTGGGGCACATCGTGGAGGTCTGGGGCTGACCGTAGGAGTCTGGATATTCAGCTGAAGGCAGGCTGAGGGAGGGGGAAGGCTGAAGGATTTAGAGCAGACTTGGGTGTCTTTAGGATGTTCAATCTGATGAGAGGCGTGCATGGATGGATTGCAGGTCTCAGTGGCTTGCATCTCAATGCACAAATGTTTATTTAGCACCTTCTGTGTGCAAGGCACACCACTGAGCTTTGGAGGAGCATGCAGTCAGGGCTCTGGAAGGCCGCTCCAGTTGCTGGGACAGAAGGGACAACCCTCCGGCTGAGTTAGTGCAGCGTGAAATCAGCGAACAGGTTCCTCTAAGGAGACGTGAGCTGGAGAGAGTCTGGGAAGGTTCTCAGCTGCAGCGAGACTTGCCCAAGCGTCCCCTGGTCTCAGTTAAAGAGACACAGGGCTAAGGCTGAGTCCCGCCTCCTTGTGCGGTTCCAGGCTGCAGCTCTTGGCCAAGAGCTCTTCGCAGCTCTTGGCTAGGAGGACACAGAGAAGGTGCAAGAGGAAAGTGTCATTGTTGGGACAACAGCGTCTCAGCTGACCCTTCAGGGATGTTTAGGTCATTGGTACCATAATTGGCTCATGTCATAATAATAGTCTGATTCTTTTCTGTTGTTTTATTTATTTATTTATTTTGGTGGTCCCGCAGAGCTTTATTTATAAGAATTTCCATAGCACTGACCAGTGTGGCTCATTTGGTCGGAGCATCATCCTTTAGACTGAAGGGTTGTGGGTTCAATTCCCAGTCAGGGCACATGCCCAGGTTGCGGGTTCGATCCCCAGTCAGGTGCGTAGGAGAAGGCAACCAATTGATGTTTCTCTCTCGCATCAAGGTTCTCTCTGTCTCTCCTCATCACCCCCCTTAAAAAAATTAATCAGAAAATGCTTTGGGTGAGGATTTAGTAAAAAAAGAAAAGAAGACTTTCCATAGATGCCTAAGATTTGTTGTTTAAAATCAGGAGTAAAGCTGGCCTCCTTTTCGTTTTGCACTTGGCTACTGTTTCAGATCAGGCCCAGCCATTTGATACAGAATGGCCACAGCGGCCACACGCGGTGGGTGGAGGGTCGCCAGGCTGCAAGCTGGACACCTGGGCCATGTGTGCAGCTGTCTGGCCTGGGGCCTGAGACCTGGGTGTGTCTCTGAGAACCCAGGAAGGGGTGGCAGCCAGGCCCTAGGAGGGCCTTCCTGAACTTGGCATTGCAAGGACCAGCATGTCGCCCTTCCTCTCAACCTGCTCCTGGATCCGCTGTCACGCTTTCCCATGGGAGGCCACTGTCCTTGAAAACACCACAAGCCAGGAAGAATCCCCGGGTCCACACGGGACCTGGAGAGACATCGTCACCTGGCCCAAACTGCTTATTTAACAGATGGAAACCACCACCACCAAGGCGGAGGGTGATGCAGTGGTGAATGAGAGAAAGCAGCCCACGAGGCTGGATTTGGACTGGCGGCATGAGCGTGTCCTCATGTTACGTACAGAGCTGGGTTCAGTCAACGGGCCAGGAAGCAGCAACACCCCAGTAGCAGTGAGCACACCTAGCACCCAGATCGTGGTTTCTAACTACCATTTTCTGCTAAAGGGAACCAGGGCTGATTCCAGGGCTGGGGCTTGGGAAGTAGCAGAGGAGACTGGACGCCCTTGACTTCCCAGGAAGTAAGGCAGTGCCCCAGACTGATAGGGAAATATCAGAGCGACAGGAGCCCCCAGGGGGACTCCCACTGGCCTAATTGCATACTACCTGAGCATCACAAAGATAAAGTGGCAATAATGGATTATAATGCTTTGAATAATAATAAAAAAAAATCAGTGAGTCCACAGGGATACTTAAAAGCGGTTGGGGGGGATGGTGGAGGCTTCTGTGCAGAGGAATGCCAAGTCCCAACCATAGAAGGAATGGTAGTTTTTAAAAAAGCACCACTTTGCAACCAGTGTACTAATGGATCCAGGCCAGGGTCAATACTGATGCTAAAACCACTGGAGGAAATGACGTCAGAACACAAGATGCTCACTCATCTCAGATTGTCACCCCCCAGGTTGCTTACTAGTCACAGAAAGTAAAATGTACTTTTACACAGAGGGGATCCGGCAGTTGGCACCTGACCGCCCGATCAGGCTTGGCATCACCAACAGTGGAATAGCCAGCCATCGGGTGCCCCCTGGTGGTTGCCAACGGAAAGACTCAATATTGTCTGATTTGGGCCAAAAGCGCCTAACTAGAATCTAAATTTTAAGAAACAAAATTGAGCGCTTTCAGATAATGGGATATTCTACGAGGCCACTGGAATGACTTGAAAACTTGTAATGCTAAAGCTGAGAAAGACATAAACTGGGTTACGGGAACGTGATGTGACAACTAAGTACAATGTGATTCTTGGCGGACTCGGGAAACATGCTGGATTATTTAGGGGTGAAGGGCCAGGATGCCCACAATTCACTTGCAAAGGATCCAGCAAATAATGAAAAGCGTGTGTGTGTTCCCCTGGGTGAGTAGAGAGAGGAAAGTAAAAGTGGCGATGTATTAACAATGAAGGGCATAGGGGTTTTATTCATTGTGTCCCAGATCGGCTTTTCCGCAATTTTGAAATTTTTCAAAATTAAATATTGTACCGACTCTATTGCAGTGACTTGTCAAAAAACAAACCAAACAAAACACTGAGACTCGAACTCCATTCTCTTGACCCCAAATCCAGTACGCTATCATTTGTCCAGGCCAATGGTGACAGGGACAGACGGAGACAGAGGGTTCCTTATTCTTGGTTCAAAGACCAGAGCTTTGAGAGTGTGGAAGAGACCCAGGCTTTCGGATTCTGATACCTTAGCCAAGGAAGAGATGAAGGCAAGGCACGCATCGCCACCTAGTGGCCAGACCGGGAAGTCTGTCTACTGCAGCCAATTTTGCAAGCAAACTCATGCCACTTTATTGGTGTCTTTCCCGCAGTCAGCCCGGCTGTGACATTTTCCCATCTGCAAAGGTGTGGACAGAGGGGAGGCTGTGGGTGCCCTGGCTGGAGGCTGTTGATGGGGAAGCTGGAGGCGGCCAACTAGAAGAGGGGTGCCCTATGTGATTCGCTGGGGTGCATATTTGACTTTCCCTGGTTGATACAAGTTGGAAGCGGGGACGAAGACTAGGGACGCTGTCAGCTACTAATCAAGTCCCGGCCCCTGGGCTTTGATTGTTATAAGAGTTATTGTTTATTTCCTGTTTATTCCCTGGCCGATGTGGCTCAGTGGATTGAGCATCGGCCCCAAAACCGAAAGGTCGCAGGTTCAATTCCCAGTCAGGGCACATGCCTGGGTTACAGGTTCAGCCGCAGTCGGGGAATGTGCAGAAGGCAACCGATTGATGTTTCTCTCCCTTTCTTCCCCTCCCTCTAAAATCAATAAATTAAAATTTTTTAAGTTAATTGTTTAACTTCCGGGACTGTTAGTAGATAGCAGCCTGCCCTCCTGCAGTTCTGGGTTACTAACAGACTAGCTCCCTGGGCTATTTATTATAGATAAGGGGGTTAGTTTCCTGGGCAGATTGCTGCATACTGGAGTAGGGGGGGGCAAATTTCCATTTTATAGATGGTCTGGCCGTTGTCCTTTTGGGTGTTTAGTCTCTCCCTCCGGAATCAGAGCCCCAGGCGGCACCGTGCCAACAGCAGCTCTAATTCCAAGGAAGAGATGTCAGAAGACCCCGGTTTGGTCTCCAGCTGCCTTCTCAACCTGGGAAGGCTTCTCCAAGCTTGGGTGGTCTCCTCGGGCAGAGCAAGGGCCATTTCTGCTGCTTCCTACCATTCTGTGACCGTGACATTAAGCCCACGTGCTCCCTCTAGAGGCTGGGGAGAGATTAGTTGGAGCTGTACAGAGATTACCTGCTCCATGCGACTAGGTGCTTACCCGCTCAATACCGGTCCCTAGACGAGGTCCCAACATCTGGGACTCCCGCCAGCTCACACGCAAATAAATCACTGATTTATCCCAAGCCGATCCCTGCGCTGCGCTCACCGCCCACGGCTGTTCTTCCCCTGTCTCCCGCGCCCAGGCTCTCCGTGTGAAATGGTCTCACCTCAAGCTGCCCTGGGTGGATATCGACTGGCTCATAGACATCTCCTGCCAGATCACAGAGCTGGACCTTTCTGCCAACTGCCTGTCCTCCCTCCCGTCGGTCATCCCCTGGGGGCTCATCAACCTCCGGAAGCTGAACCTCTCGGACAACCACCTGGCCGAACTACCTGGCGTGCAGTCATCAGACGAGATCATCTGTTCCAGGTGGGCGTCCCCCATCACACGTGCGGGGGTGTGAGCGGCGCGCGCGGGGGCACCCTCTGCACCCCAGCTGCCGGGGCCAGCCCCCCACGGGCTCCCTGACGGTAGTCAGTGGTTTTAAAAACCAATTTTCAGCGGAAATGAGAGAAGGAAGCTCTGTTTTCCCTGATGCAAGCTCTGTCTTGGGGACAAGGTCCCCATCTCCCATCCAGGGGGATGCAGAGCGGGGTGGCTTGTGTGCCCCGCCGTGTACACTGCCCACTAGCGGCTTGGCGGACCTGCTGGTCCGCGATGCCCCATCTTGGTCCAGCACACGGGAATCAGAGACGGGGGCTGATGGAAGCCGTAAGGCCCAAGCACCCCGACTTTTTTATCCCACCTCCCAGAGAAAGGGGGGAGGGCCTTGGGGGACAAGCTCACCCCACGGGACGCTGGCAGCAGGGACAAGTGTGAGCAGTTCTGTCTCCTTTTGGGGGGAGGCCTTGCGAAGCTAAAGCTCTAAGAGTAAGAGAGAAAGAAGCAGGTTGGAAGGAACTTAGGGTCATCAGTAACGGGAGGTGGGGGGGGCGGGCTACACACAAAAATCTAAAGAACGCCCGTCACCCAAGCGGGAGTCCTGCGTGGGGCACCCTACTCAGGGGTCCAGAAAGTTGAAGGCATCTTTCAACCAGCTCAGGCCGCTCTCCCACCTATGAGAAAGGATTTAATTTCTATTGGCCGGAGAGACCAGGGCACCCCAAAGACAGCTTTTATTTTCTTTGTCTGCACTGGACATGGTAACAGTTAATGTAATGAATAAAAGTTTGATCGCTACAGTTTCAAGGCCCGTTCTGTGCAAGGGGCCAGAGGAAAATTGCGCCCCTGTGTTTACAGAAATACGTAACAGGGGAGCTTGACCTCTTTCTTCGGAGGCTTTGACGTCCTTCTTCCCCCACGACAGGCTCCTGGAAATTGACATTTCCAACAACAAGTTGTCCCATCTCCCGCCGGGATTTCTGCACCTCTCCAAGCTCCAAAAACTGACCGCCTCAAAAAATTACTTAGAAAAATTGTTCGAAGAAGAAAGTGGTATGTTCTACCACCCATAACCTGACCTCCTTCGTCCTTTTCTTCTTCATAGGGATCTATCTACCAGTTCATACTCTTTTTTTCTTCCCTAGCCACTAACTGGATTGGTTTGCGGAAACTACAGGAATTGGATATTTCTGACAACAAGCTGACAGAGCTGCCTATGGTGTTTCTTCATTCTTTCAAGTCGCTCAGTTATCTGAATGTCTCCAGAAACAAACTGAAGGTCTTTCCAGACGCCTGGGCCTGTCCTTTGGTTAGTATCACACCGGAAGTCCCGGAGGGCTTGGTGCCTGTCTCATCTGCTCCCCTTTGGTGGCCACGCTGGGTAGCGAGTGTTTCAGGCAGGTGACTCACCTGAAAGCCAGGCCGTGTGGCTCTGGGCTTGAGATTTGCACCCTGAGACCCACAGACCTTTCCGCATTTACAACTTGCGTGTCCGGCGTAGGGTGACTTCTCTGCAAAAAGATGAGCAGGGGGAGGGGCTCCGGTCCTTTCAGACAGCTCTACACTAAGACTAAAGAAGAAATAATCTGCCTCCATCGCACCGCCCATGAAATGGTGTTTTTGTTTCTCGGGACGTTTGCGCGCAAAAGCAGATGGAGCAGCGTAAGGAGTAGCCATGCGTTTTCTTGCTGTTGGTCTCACACCAGGAAATCCTCGTCACCAGTATTAACATCTCCTGTTTAAACAGACGCGTGTGGGAGCCCGGCCCCTCCCCAGAGCCTGGGCCTGAATTGTTCCATTATCTCCCAGGACAATGAGCCAAATGTTCTGGGATGGAGGAAAAGGGTTAGGAGCCACTGTTGTCTCCCCTGAGAACCCGTTGCCATCTGTCCCTTGGGGCAGGGATGGGAAAACGGGACAACCACACTTTGCAGCCTCTTAATTAACGGGATCCCATTTCTTACAGAGCTGTGGGGTAAAGGTCTTCTTTTTAAATCAAATTGGGAAAGTCTTCCTCATCAGCACCGCCGCCTTCAAAAAGCTAATTTCTACCTCCTTCTCTTTCTCCTCAAACTGCTAGAAATGCTGTAAAGCGTCCCACAATGCCCTGGAGTGCCTACCAGACAGGATGGCTGTCTTCTGGAAAAACCACCTTAAGGAGGTGGATTTCTCGGAAAACGCGCTCAAGGAAGTTCCTCCAGGACTTTTCCAGCTCGATGTGAGTCTAACAGCACCCAGAGCGCTCACGTCCTGCTTTTGTGAGAGAGTCAGTCGGCCATGCAGGGAAGTCTGGGCACTTCTCCTGAGCGCCTGAGACCAAAAAAAATGTTGAGAAAAGCTCAACTGTCAAAAAAAAGTGTCATTACGAGCAAAGATCAATAGGAAATGTGCAAAATGGAGACAGCTATGTGAGGGGGTAGGATTATGGGATCTTACCCCCAGGGGTTTCTTTAGCGTTGAAATCTGTGAGCACAGCCCAGCAGCCCCTCTGTCTGACCTTCTCCGGCTCTGTCCCTTTCCTGGTGGCACAGAGGCCAGCTGCTGTAGGAAGCCAAGGCCAGGGGGACACTGCCTGGCAGAGCCTCCTTGTCCCTTCCTCCCGCTCCAGAGGTGGCCGTCCTGGAAGCTTCTTGGGACATGAATTCAGGAAAGTGCGTTTTTCCAAAGCACTGTGTGTCCCCTGTCCCCTCCCCACCAATGTGGGGCTCCTTTCTTGTTGTTTTTTTTTTAATCCTCACCCGAGGATATGGTCACTGATCCTAGAGAGAGAGGGAGGGAGGGAGGGAGGGAGGCAAAGAGGGAGGGAGAGCCAGGCAGGCAGACATGATGTGAGAAAAACATTGGTCAGTTTCCTCCTGCACACACTCCGACTGGGAATCGAACCTGCAAACTTTTGGGTGCATAGGACAATGCCACAACCAACTGAGCCACCCAGCCGGGGCTCCTTTCCCACATTGGGCTGTTGCCCGTCGGTCTTTGCTTCGCCCTCCCACTCGATGGGAACCCCTTAAGGCAAAGCATAGATCCTATTCAGCATTTGACCTTGACACCTCAGACCAGCCCCAGAAAGTGGCCTGATTAGAGATTGCCGAAGGCCTCGGGGCAACCCCAGGCAGAGTCCACAAGCCTCAGCCCCCACAGGCTCTCCTCCAAGGCCTGGTGCAGTCCCCCCCGCCCCCGCCATGCTCAGGGACCCCCAGAAGGCAGCAGGGGCCCTGTCACCACGCATATTCTCAGGACGAGGGCCATCAAGCGGTGAGCGCCAGGGCAAACATGGACAAAGGGCCCCAGGCTGTGTCCGTTGCACGGGGAGAGCCCGTGGGTGAGGACACAGGTCACTACTACCCGAAGGGACACCCCTGGCCAGGAGGTCACATCTGCTACCTGACCTCTGTCCTTGGCGGGACATAGTAATAGAAGTCTATTACTTCTTCCGTCACACCAGCAACTGGCTTGGTGTTCTGGTTCCCAGCGCAGCCAGAAAAGGAGGGAAAGAACCTGGTCCAGCTCCTCACCCCTGCGATTCGCGTGAGGTCTCAGCTCTGAGAAATACTTAGGCTCCTTTCATTCTAGAAGAGTTGTCTCCCATGGACCTGGGAGGAAGGGTCTTCTATAAAGTCTCCCATCTGTTTGGTCTAGTTTCTTGAGTTCGAAGAAACTCTTGAGCCCCCATGATGGAATCTCGGTTAAGGTCAACCGGTCGTAATCATTTGGCAGCAGTTTGCCGGGGAACTGATTTTTCTCTTCATTTTTGTCCTCCCCGTTGGCATTCAATGGCATCTCCACCTCTCTCCCTCTCTGCCGCAGGCCCTCACGTCCTTGAGGTTACAGGGAAACCAGCTGGTGGCTGTGCCACCTCCCGAGAAGTGGACCTGCAAGCAGCTGAAAACCCTGGATCTCTCCAGAAACCAGTTTGGCAAGTAAGCAAGTCTCTGTCGCGGGCAGGTTCGAAAATGTGCTTGACACAGTAGTGGAGCAGTCCCTGGGGTTGTGTCTCTCTTAGTTTGTTGGAGTGGCCCTCGCAGAGTGTCACAGGCTGGGGGCCACTTATTTGTCACAGTTCTGGAGGCTGGAAGGCCAAGGCCAAGGCATCAGCAGGGTTGACCGCTTCTGAGGCCTCTCTCCTGGGCCTGGACATGGCTGTCTTCTCTGTGTCCCCACGTGGTCTTCCCTCTGTCCCACGTCCGAGTGTCCCCTTCCTGTAAGGACACCGGTTATGTTGAGAAAAGGTCCATTCTCATGGCCTTGTGGTAACTTAAATGCATCTGTTAAGACCTCATCCCCAAATAAGGCCACATGCTGAGTGTTGGAAGTTAGGACTTCAACCTATGCATTTGGAGAAGGGGAGACACAGGCTAGCCCATAACGGTGTCCCCCATTTCTAATGTTAAAGACTGCTGGAGACTCTTCTCCCGTTACCCTAACCTGCCATGCTGTTCAAAAGTTTTTATTGATCGAATAAAAAGTACCCCCCAATTGCTAACCAGTGTGTATATACGAGATCTGCCCAGAAGATATCCAGCCATGTTATATGAAAAATAGAGACATTTATTGAAGAAGATACAACATAAAAGAAACATTGTACATAGGGCAATGACGCCTCAGTCCCCTTCACCGTAGGCACCTGGGGACCTCACACGGTTCTCCCAGTCGCCATCAGCAGCCCCATTGTATTTTCCTGAATCTCATCGAAAGTCTGAAACCTCTTCCCTTTCAAAGGTGGCTTTAGATTTGGGAAAAGCCAAAAGTCTCAGGGTGCCAAATCTGGGCTGTAGCGGGGCTGAGTCACCTGGTTGATTTGATGTTTTACAAAAAAACTTGCCACGAGTGCGTGATACACGAGTGGGCACTTTGTTGTGATGAAGCTGCCAATCACCAGCTGCCCATAGTTGCGGCCTCTGAATCATGCAAATAGTTTCCACAGAGAAATGTTCAAGCTTAATGCAAACTTTGATGTAGATTCATTTTGAACGCGACAGCCACACAGTACACATGCTCACTCAGTGGCGTCTACCACCCCCAATAGCTAACACAGTGAAGTCATCATTGTTCACACACGCACATTCCAATTCACTCGCCTTGGCTGCCAGGTGACATCGATGTCATGCAAACCACTCTCCTTATATTAACAATGGCTGGACTTTTTCCGGACAGACCTCGTATATATTGAATAAAAAGAAGCCCCCTCCCCAAGAGGGAATAAATAGGTGACAATCTGAGGATGAGCCCAGGTGGCCCTGGGGGCCCTGGAGACCAGCCTCCAGGTTCGGCTGCTGAAGGTCACCTCTGTGGCATCTCAGCAGAACGTACCTCCCAAAGAGAACTGGCCTGGGGAGCAGCCTCAAAAGTCCCATCCGCTGGAACGGGCATTCCCGCCTGGCACGGAAACGCTCACACCTGCCGGAAGTGGAAAAGCGCCAGAATGGAAACCACCGGTCATGCGTGCGTCAGGCCACCTTGTCTAGCCGTTTCTTCCCCAAAGACTTCTGAGCACAACGGGTGCAATGAGCTGCCGACACTCACACGTCAGCGGCAAGGGGCCCAACGCTCCGCTGATGGAATTTTCTCCCTTCTCGCTGCACGGTTCGGCCTGATAGAGCCACAGCCAAAATAGTAAGGTCTTTGTCCTGCTTTCCTCAAATGTTGACGTTTTTTCCTCCCAGCAGAAATGACGACGGACTCAAAACAAAGCGTATTTCCTTTTTCACCACCAGAGGGCGCCAGCGGTCAGGGACGGAGACAGGTGTGTGTGTAGGTGCTGGGAGGTGAGGATGCTGGGCAGGTGGTTCCTTGCTATTCTTCTATAGGGTTTTTCCCACAATGCCCTGTAGGAATGTCAGAGATGCTCACATTTGACTGGGCCTGTTGTTTGCAGGACACACGTGGCCTGCGTATCCTGAAACCCCCTTCCCATTTACAACCCAATAAGACTAGAAGCTGCTGTGTGTGGACAGACAGCCTGCAGCCTGTGAGCACTGCCCGAGACGTGTTAAATATGTTAGCCTTCCTTTAATTCTCACAACATAAGGTGTGGGTTGTGGATCCCCATTTTACAGATGAGGAAACTGAGACTCCCCGAGTGTTTTAGTCTGCTTGGGCTTCCACAGCGAAGTACTGGAGACCGGGAGGCTTGAACAACAGAAATGCATTTCCTCACAGCTCTGGAGGCTGGAGGTCTGAGATCAGGGTGCCAGCGTGGTTTGTTCCTGGTGAGGACTCTCTTCCTGGCTTGCAGACGGCTGCCTTCTTGCTGTGTCTTCACGGCGCAAAGAGAGAAAGAGAGCAAGCTATCGCGTGTCTCTTTTTATAAGGGCACTAAACCCATCATCGCCCCCCACCAGGGCCTCATCCAACCTCATCGCCTCCCAAAGGCCCCCACCTCTTCATACCATCACGTTAGGGAGGCACAATTCAGTCCGTGGTTCAAGGGTTGACTGGTCACGTTGCTGCTCGGTGGCAGACCAGGTTTCGACCCCGTCCTGGGCGGGGGGCGGGGGCAGAGGCAGGGAGGCAGCACTGTGACGTTCTCACAGCCCCACTACGGGATCTTGTGAAGACACAAGGGAACACAGCCACCCTTGGTCTCGCAAGCTGTCCTGGCTAGGCTGAGTCCAGAGGGACTTGGGGTCTTCCCCCAAATTCATCAGAAACAGAACTTTTCTTAGAATGTTTGTACTGGTCACACAACAAGGCCAGTTCAGCGCAGAATATTTTTAGGAAAACAAATTCTCCTTGTTCCTTTTCTTCTGTGAGGTAAGGTTGGGAGGCGTGGACCCATCCCGGGTGCTAAGTAGCCCTGTTCTTTAACTTGAGAGCTAAGACGTCTAAAGCCAGCGAAGCTCATAGAACTATCCCTCAGGGTGCTGTCCCATAGAATAGGAGCCAGTATTTAGTTGATTTTAAATATAACTCTCGTCTTCAACTTAATAGATCTCTGTTGGCAAGTGCACTTTAAGTACAGATGGCTTGAGGTGGGGATAAGAAACCCCATGGAGGCCCAGGAACATTTGCAGGAGGTGAAAAAAATAACCTGTCCTTCTGTTGTGCTTTTGATGAACTGGTGTGCTTGTGTGTATACATATGATATGTGTATATCAGTCATGTATGAATGCGTTTACATGATTGAAAAGGTAACACATCATCAGGGAAACAGATGAGCCTCTGAAAAACAGGCCTAAATCAATACAGGAACTTAATATATGACAAGAGTGGTATTTCATTTTCGTGGAGAAAGAATGTTTTATTGTTTAACAAATAGTGTTGGTATAACTGCAGTCCAGACAGAAAAAGAAAGTTACAATCCTCGATTTCCAGCCCTACATCAATTACAAAATTTCTATGTGGGTTTAAGATATAAGAATGAAAGGAAAAAGAAAATAATAACCTTTAAAAGAATATATGTATGGGTGGGGGTGGGGAAGACCTTTCAAAGCTAGGTGGGAAACCCAGAAATCATTTTTCTAAAAAGGCCAAAATCCTGGGCTTTGTGAAAACAGACTTAGAAGAAATATTTGCAACACAAATTGTTGCAACATAAATTGGCTAAAGCCCCTAATATACAAAGACTGCTTACAAATTGATTTAAAAAAAAAAAAGACAACCCAATAGGCAAAAAAATGGGCGAGAGATGTAAACAGTTTGCAGAAAAGGAAGGTCAGATGGTGTGGAAACAAATGTAAATGTCCTGAACCACACAGAGAGGGAAGTACAATTAGGAATTTCGTAACTGCCCCTTTTTAAAACGAAGGCCTTAGGACTTTGGAAATTGAGTCCAGACGTAGGGGCAGGAAAGAGAGGGAGGAAAGAGAAACAAACACTTTCGTCTCATTCAAGCCAAAATGGAGCAATGGGCGTGACAAGCGCCGCTGGTATGGATCTCAGTCCCGTTGCCGTTGCCGTTGCGGTTGCCACGCACAGAGCCTCTCAACGTTTGGGTTGAGCGGAAGGGCGTCTGCAGCTTAGAAGCTGAGACCCCACAGAGAAGTGTGTGAGGAGGTGGGCCCGGCCCTCAGTGGGACCAGCCACCCCCGGGAGAGCCCCCAGGGTACAAGGTCAAACGCGCGTGATGAAAAGCACTGTAGGAGCACGTACCAACGTTCTCGAAAGTGATGGCTGGAGGCCTGGGGGGCTGGGTGAGGAGGCCACACCTTTTGAAAGTACCCCTGGCAGAACTGGACGGCGGAGTTGGCCCGTGACAAAGGCCCCTTGATTTTTTCATTTTCGTCTCGAACGTTGAGGCCCACGTCCGGGTGAAAAGGAGGCGCCCCGTTTCAAACGCTTTTCCTCAGTACAGTTATTCCCTCGGGGCTGCGGAGCCTTGGGTGAGGAATTATCTATAAAAGATAACTTGTTTGCAGATGGACAGTAAAATTCCAGGCAAATTTATGCACATTCAAGGAGTCATATTTGTGCAGCGGCCTCATCCAAAAATAATTTGGACGGCCGTTTTTACGGTAACATTCAGACCAGCGGAGTCATAAATAACTTATGAATAAATAATTACAGTTCATAAATGCCTCGCGCTGTGCTCTCCTCAGCCTGGTTTTCAGAGTTTCCACACTGAGCCGGGAGCTCTAGGACAGGTGTTGCCCCCGTCCAGAGCAAAAATTCCTTCTTCCATCCACCCTTTGCTTAAAGAGGCTTCGTAAACACCAAGACGAAACTAGAAAACGGGAAGGCATCAAGGCCAAATGTTCCAATGTGTTCTCCGGGAAGAAAGGCCGCCTTTCTTATTATTGGTGGTGTTCGGTGTGAATGAGGGCAGGCGAAAGCTGGTCATTCTTTTTCATTGGAAAAAGAAAAACAAAAGAAGGAGCCCTTTGGAACATTTTCTTAGGGAATGGGGTCGAGCACCACGCCGTCTTTAGAAGCCGGCTGCACGGTTCATCCCGAAGGGGTCGCGGCATTGAGTCCCGTTCGCCACGGCGGCCCACGAGGCAGATTTCCAAGCGCCTGTTTCGGGACCCCGTTATCACCTCTCCCAGAATATTCTCTGGGGCCGGGTGCCTCAGGACCATGGGCTCTACAACCAGAGTCAAGCAGGCAGTGGGGCGTCACAGTCAAAGGCAGTAGAGTGTTGTTTCAGCCCAGCGAGAGATTTGGCTTCCCTTTCTCGCTCGCTGCCTGGCAGAGAACCCGGAGAGAGGGCTTCGAGCCATCGCCTTGTCTTGGACTCTCCGAGCTGACAGGGACCCTCAGGGCAGGCTGTCCTGGCCCCCTCTCCCTGCCTTCGGAGGGGGCATAAGGCACTTTAGAGACTCTGCTAGAATCCAAAGCTCTGCTTCCCATCAGTGCGTGTTTCTGGGCCCTTGGCCATGTTCTTTCTCAACTCACACACTCTGGTGCCCGTGAAAACGGCAGATTTGACATGATTTTAATGGCCATGTCATCATTAGCCTAATTAATGAAGTGAGTCAGATGCTAGAGAGTTGGCTTGTGTTTTAGAGAATGCCATCTTAGGACACATGCAAACTAAGCCTGTAGGAATATTTTTTAGTTAACTAGCTTTCTTTCATTGAAGCAGTAATACATGGGCAAGGTAAATAGAATTTTCGAACAGGACCATAGGGCATGGAAGGAATATTCAGCCTCCTAATATTTTTCTACCCCAGAGACAGCTATGGAATTTCATGGGTGTCTGGTAACAATCGTGTTTGTGTCTGACATATATGTGTAACATATACACACCTATGTGCCTTGTGGAGTGTATACACATGCTTATAAGAGTAGGTAACTGTTATACATGCATATGTGCATTTCTGGTGTATATGCTTGCAGATAACGCCATACAGAATACATAGGTGCATTGTGGTGTGTGTACCTATGTGTATAAACACACACATAAATGCATGGGCTGTGGGTTTGCTTGCATGTCTGCACACGTATTGTGGTTCATCAATGAAGCCTTCAGACACCTTGCTCCACACCTTGTTTTTTCAGTTCACCAACAGCTCTTGAGTGTAGACATGCCCGTGCATCATGATAGGTGTGTATTGTCCCCTGAGGGCGGATGGCTAGGCTGTCTTCAATATCAGACACTGTGCCACTGAGCATCCTTGTCCTCACCCCTTTGCCCCGAGTTCAGGGACATCTGCGGGACAATATGCCGGCATTAGAACCCCTAGATCCATGAGGTATGCCTCTTACTCTGAGGTGGCTCCTGTTCTTCCAGCAGCTCGGGCTCCACGCCGTGATGGCCCATGATTCGTTGCACGTGTCCAGTCTGCTTTGCCATTTCTTTGCAGCCTGTGTGCTCGAGTTTCCGGCCTTCCTAAGTGAGTCTCTGGAAGTCCTTTGCCTGAATGACAATCATCTGGATGCGGTCCCTCCCTCGGTCTGCCTACTGAAGAGCTTATCGGAACTCTACCTGGGAAAGTGAGTACCCAGCCCGGGGAGGCGGCACGTCCTTCCATAAGCCACCTGAGGACACAGCCAGGGAGAGAGGAGCCATCTGTGTGCCCAGAAGCAGCGGAGGGATTTTCAGAGCCGGGCTTAGTCAAAGGCACGCGGGAGGGGTAGGCAGAGGGTAGTGACGCAATAAGCCGTCGGCTGCTCTGCTCAGTCACAGTGAGAAGAACTCTTGGATCCTTCATCCTTTCTTTTACTGAGCAGCTACGGGTGTTCGGACAGTATGAAAATCTTCATGAAAATATAAAATAACTCAGGTCACACTGCCTTTTTGAGAAGTGATAACCTCTTTTTTTTTAATCACAACCCGAGGATATGTTTGTTTATTTTCAGAAAGGGAGACATTCGTCAGTTGCCTCTCGTATGCACCCCAACCGGGGATCGAACCCACAACCTTTTGGTGTGTGGGACGATGCTCCGACCAACTGAGCCGTCTGGCTGTGGCGATAGTGATCATCTTTAAAGTGGTGTAACTAGTGGACCAGATGAGAAGGTTGGGGGAGGGGACCGAGTACTAAGCCACAGGGATTTGCAGAAGACAGAGCTGCCATTTGAACCCCCGACTGTCCAGGGAGGAAGGCTTTGAAGTTAGTATTTAAATAGAATGGCTGAAATTGGAGCCCAAGAAGTTGGGTTTGGGGTGCAGGCTCCCGGTGGCCGCTGTGGGCCTCAGAGGCTGACCGGCGCTGTGCGTGTGCGTGCGTGTGTGCCTGTGTGTGTGTGTCCCCACTGTGTCCTCAGCAACCCTGGCCTGCGAGAGCTCCCCGCTGAGCTGGGGCAGCTGGGCAACCTCTGGCAATTGGACATTGAAGACCTGAACATCAGCAACGTGCCTGCGGAGATCAGAAAAGAAGGTAGGCCTCCCTTAGCATCATCCCCTTGGAAAGATGCCTCTGTTCCAGCTGTTCAGGGCCTGGGGTGGAAATAGCTGGGTGCCTCACAGAGCCCACTGCCAGCTCCCGTGTTTGCGACGATGCTGTGAAATATCCAGAAAGCGAAAGTCGCGGAGGACCATGCCGTTGCGACTGACCATGTGATAACTACCTAGGACCCCCCCGTGGGGACCAAGGATGTTGTCTGAAGTCTTTGACTTTAGACTTCACTTCCGGGGTGGTCGGTATGCCGTCCCCTGCTCCTTCTGAACTCGCCCTAGTAGGACGCATCGAAAAGGTTCCTCCCAGACCAGGTCCGGTCCGCCCCAGGGATGGGAGCGCGCCCCCCGCCGCGCCGCGTGTCCGCAGCAGCGTCCTGTTTCCTGCTCTGTGATTTTGCGCAGGCCCCAAAGCCATGCTGTCCTTCCTGCGCGCTCAGCTGCGGAAGGCGGAGAAGTGCAAGCTGATGAAGATGATCGTCGTGGGGCCTCCGCGCCAGGGCAAGTCCACCCTCCTGGAGATCCTACAGACGGGGAGGGCCCCCCAGGTGATGCACGGCGAGGCCACCATCAGGACCACCAAGTGGGAGCTCCAGAGGCCAGCTGGCTCCAGAGCCAAGGTCAAGGATGGTCAGCATGCGGAGGCCCCATGGGTGGAAGGGAGCTTCCCCGGGCCCCTCTTCCCACCCCTCCGGGGAGCCCCGGATTCCCCCAGTGGGGTCTGAGCCCTGGGAACATGCAGGGGCCGCTGAGTACTGTTTCCCATCCAGCACCTGCCAGGGGTGGTGAACTTCTTACCGTGACCGTGCCGTTTTTCTGCGAGAGCGAAGCTGAGGCCCCGGGCCAGTGGCCCTTCATCCTGGCTGTCATTAGATTTCTCACATGAGCTTTCAAAGAGAGTCGTGCCCAGGCCTCACTACCCCGGACCCCAGAGCTTGTAATTCAAATGTCCTGGGGCTGAGAATGAACTTCTGCTACGGGCGAAGAGACACGCCCGCACCTGTACCTAACGGGGAGGTCCGAGAAAGCGCCCCGAGTATGAGTGTACTGTCCTGCCTGGCGCCTGCTGACACCCCAGGTGCTGAAAGTCTAGTTTTCAAGCCCTATTTCAAATGAACCCTTTGGCAAACCTATTAATCCCCCTGTTTTCCATGTAGTGTGAGACACATGAAAACGAATGTTGTCTTGAGCTCGAGTCTGAGGGGAAAGCCCATGAAAGCGCAGTGGGTGGAATACGGCAGGAACCAGAAGCTGTCTCCCCGCACAGGGAATGAGCACCCGCAGCTTACACCTCTCCTACCTGTGGCCTCGTGTGCGGTTACGTGTAGCCACGCAGGTGCAAGGAGGCTGCTTGTGGGAAACCGAGGGGCTCTGAGGCCAGAGGCTGCATGATTTTTCCCATAGCCCCCAGCACAGCCTTTCACACGAAAGCACCGTCCAAGTCAGTGAGACCCAGTCTGCCCCATTAGGCACTTACGCTGAATGTATAATTTAACGCTGACTCAGAAAGCAGCCCTCGAACAACAGAGTCTGCCTGTGCGGGACAGGACAGTCACATCATCCATATCAATACCACCCCTGCTCCATCCCCCGCTCAGAGCGACCCAGGAGTAAATCTTGCTCCCTCGTGTCCGAAGGTTCTGTAAAGCAACCAGAGTCTTCTGGAGTCCCTCCTGCTTTCAAAACAATCGCTCAATGTCACTTTCTTCCAGCTGGACTCTCGCAAAGGCTTGTCCGAGGCCCGACGGGTGAATTGCTGTTTCCATTTTTTCTCCCCTTTCTGCCATCATTACAGTTTCCCGCCCCCCCCCCCGCCTTTTTTTTTTCACTCAAAGACAGCCTGCTCTTTCGAACGCGGAGCCCCGAACGCTGTGTGACTGGCCCTCCAGCTGTTTAGAACAGCTGTCTGTTTTCATCCTTCTACATGGAGGCCAAAACGCAGCGTTGTGGGAACGGTTCTTTGCTACAGAAAACCACAGCCTCAGCGGCCGGGGCCAGACTCTGACCTCATAGAGCGATAGAGAAACCGCCGTTGACACAGCCTTTCCCGGCAATCCAACAGCTAGGCTTTTGTTTAATTCCCACGTCAAGGCAGTTTCCCTGCGTCCTTGGTGGGCGCCGCCTGCTGACCCGCACGGGTTCAGAGGCCCGTCGCCGGGGCCTCGGCCTCGCTCCGTTGGAGGTTTGACCTGCGTGTGAGCACTGACGTCACGGCCGGGGCTTCCTCCTGCCGGATGTCGCTTAACCGCCTGCAGCCCAGATAGGGGCAGGACAATTCCCTCCCGTGTTCCACGGACACTCGGCCTCCAGGGCCTGGCCCCTTGCTCCATTCGCCGTACACAGAGGCTTCTGGAAGGCCCGCCTCTGCACCCTGGCTCCCTTTCCCGCACTCGGACGAGTGACTCCGAACACAAACGGCGAGGCAGGCAAAGCTTTTCCCTGGCCGGGCCTTGTATAGTCTCTAAACACAGCGTGCGAAGCGATCAGCTCTCTCGAGGGGGCTGAGCAAAACCTTGGTTTTTAAAGTGCCTCCCTTTGTCGCTGCCTTGTTGCTCAAGTAGGTTGAGTCTGTAGAATTCACCGTCTGGGACATCGGCGGTCCCGCCAGCATGGCGACTGTCAACCAGTGCTTCTTCACGGACAAGGCGCTGTACGTGGTGGTCTGGAACCTGGCGCTGGGGGAGGAGGCCGTGGCCAGCCTCCAGTTCTGGCTGCTCAACATCGAGGTGAGGCGGCGGCAGCCCATCCGGCCTCGGAGCATCGCAAGGGCCGTGCCACTTCTCTGAAGCTTCCCCCTTTCGCTGAGAGGGACAAAAAAAAGAAACTGCTAGGGAGAAACGCTTGGCATTAGAAGGAAAACCCCTGAACCATAGGTCACAGGGAAGCGCTTGCAGCCCGCCTCGGCCCCATGGTTTGTGGCGCTCTTGGTTCCTTCTGCCCTAATTTCAAAGCCCCTCGCTATTGGGTAAAAAGGGAACAGGGCGCCCCTCTCAAGTGTGGAGGTCGCCGGGCCTGGAGGCAGCCGCGGTGCCAGGAGCTGCTGCCGTGTCTGATGGGACCAGAAACCCAGCCTCTGTGGGGGAGTCCCGGGGGGCCTCACACACCCCTCAGTCAATGCCCCTCGAGGTTTACAGACAGGAGCGCGGGGCGCGGCCCTGGGTGGCAGACAGACGATGGGAGCTCCCCGGGGTTCTCTGTCGCAGGCCAAGGCCCCCAACGCCGTGGTGCTCGTGGTCGGGACCCACCTGGACTTAATCGAAAGCAAATTCCGCGTGGAGAGGATCGCGACGCTGCGGGCCTACGTGCTGGCGCTCTGCCGCTCGCCCTCCGGGTCCAGGGCCACCGGCTTCCCCGACATCACTTTCAAGCACTTGCAGTGAGTGTCCCAGGGCCTCCCGCTGCTCCGACGTCGCCCGGGGCTGGGGCTGCGGGTCCTTGCCTTGTCCCTCCTCCCAGAATGCCTGGGATCCCCCGGCAGAGGGCTCCTAACCAGGGGCTGGGCTCCTAACCGGCACGAAGAGTGGCCGCGGGGGTGGGGTGAGAAGCAGCTAGAGATGGGACAGGGCAGGGCCTGGCGACAGCCTGTCTGGGCCTCCTTCATGAATCCCCGCCACCCCGTGGCCAGGGTTGTGCGAGCTTGGCCCATCATATCTGTCGACCACTGATCAAGTACAGACCCCTGGTCCTCATGCTGGGTCTGAGTGGTCCAGAAGGGGCTGGGATGGGTGAGGGTGCCCCGACGCGTGGGACCGGCCCTCGGGGCTTGTCCCTTCCCCCACCTCCTGACCTTGGACTCCCACCACTGGTTCTGTGTTGTACCCACTTTGCAGATGATGAAACTGAGGCCCAGCGACTTCAGTAGCCATGCTCTGGTGGGAACGCAGCGTGCATGGCTATGGCTGCACTGGTGGCATTTGGGTTGCCTCTGGGTTAGAGTCCCACGGACCTGGGTGGGCACACAGCCTGGGGACATGCCTGCCGGGCTCCGAGGGTAGAGTCCTGTTCCCTGGGGTCCGTGATGATAGGAGCGCCAGCCCTGGGTCCTCCCCGAGTCTGCTCCTTTGCTGCTCGTGTCTCGGGGTCAGCTCACCTGCCCTCTCTGTAAAATGGGCGCATTGGGAAGACAGACTGAAGCGCCCCGTCACGGTGCCCTCAGTACCAAGTGAGATCTCGAGAAACTTCTCCGTGTCCACGTTTCCCAAGTTCTCTCGACTTGCTTGGGACGACGTGGGAAACCAGAGACGCAGGGGGTGGGGGCGCGAATGGTAAGGGTGGATCTTTTTTGCACCCACAGTGAAATCTCCTGCAAGAGCCTGGAAGGCCAGGAGGGGCTGCGGCAGCTCATTTTCCATGTCACGTGCGGCATGAAGGACGTGGGCAGCACCATCGGCTGCCAGCGGCTCGTGGGGAGGCTGGTGAGTGCCTCACACGTCCCTGTGGAACCACGGGGCCCTGCTTCCCGTTTGCGGAGCATCTGCACATCCCGCTCTCGGTCGTCGGGCTTCCTGGTCCCCATGCGAGCAGTTTCTCTGGGGAAAGAGGGGGGCCGTGGAGCGTTGTGCCCACTCAGGCCAGGCCCGGCCTTGCCCACCTGTCCCCAGATCCCCCGGAGCTACCTGAGCCTCCAGGAGGCCGTGCTGGTGGAGCACCAGCGGCGCAGCCTGAGCGACGACGTGCAGTATCTGACAGACAGGCAGCTGGAGCAGCTGGTGGAGCAGACCCCCGGCAACGACATCAACGACTACGAGGACCTGCAGTCCGGTGCGTGGGCTGGGGGTGGGGGTGAGGGTGGGGGCGGGGGGACGGCAGGGGGACTCGAATTTTTCAACCGCTCTGCGCGTGTCTGCCAAGGACCACACGTGCACAGCAGGTATTGATTTCGGGCATCACAAATTTTAACGCGTAAGCGAACTTGCAGGGACAGAATCCGTGAATAACAGAGATCAGTCCATCGTAGCTCTTGCCGCTGGCGGTGAGATCAGCCCACTGAGGAGTCGGTTGCTTCCTAGGAAGAATTCGCCACCGGGCCCCCACGGGAGCCGGTCACCGCAGAGTCCCCTCTGCCCTCTGTCTGACGCTGTCCCCTCTCCCCCCTTATTGGCGCAGCCATCAGCTTCCTCATAGAAACGGGCACCCTGCTCCACTTCCCGGACACCAGCCACGGCCTGAGGAACCTCTACTTCCTCGACCCCATCTGGCTGTCTGAATGTCTGCAGAGGATCTTCAACATCAAAGGCTCCCGGTCGGTGGCCAAGAACGGGGTGATCCGGGCGGAGGATCTCAGGATGCTGCTGGTCGGGACCGGCTTCACGCAGCAGACAGAAGAGCAGTATTTCCAGTTCCTGGCCAAGTTTGAGATCGCCCTGCCTGTCGCCAATGACAGGTGAGTCCGTTTGCAGACTGGGCTGTGGGGCCGCCCCAGGGAGGGAGGAGTTGGGGCTGGGGCCACGGGGCGGGGAGGGGAGAGGCTTGAACAAGATTCCCAGGGACGGGCCTGCCTGCCAGTCTGGGCCGGCTCTTCTTCCTGTGCCGTGAGTGTCTCTTTTCTCTGTGTTCAAAGATAATCACTTACAGGAAAGGTGTAGGAAAACATACAAGAGTGGCATTAAAAATAGCCTTGGGGGGTTGCATTTTAAGGGGTTGGTTGTGTGGTTATTTGGTGCATAAAAATGGAGTAAATGGCAAGGGTGCGCATGCTAATTACACAGCCCGGCATTCAACAGGCAGGAAGGGCAAGGGCCGGGGGGACCGCGTGGCTCTGATCCAGTGACGCTCGGACCTACGCCAGCTTGGTACTCAGGGCCTTCTTGCTCTGGTTTCACTGTCAGCCACTTCCTGGGTCTGATGCTGACGTTGGTCAGCATCCAGAACTCCGAGTCCGCAGACCAGGGCCCAGGGTGTTCTTGACTTTGGCCCACGAAAAAACACAAGGTCGGGCAGCCTGTGAGTTTATAACATTGCTGAGACCGGACAATGGTCTGGTTATTTTATCCACAGGAAGGAGGAGACATTAACACTCAGTAAAAGCGAGTCCCTTAGACATTTATGCATGTCTGCTTGAACAATAAAATCAGCCGCCGGCTTCTAGCCAGCCCCTCGTGGAGGGTTATAATGCAGCGGTGTTAGAACATGGAGCCAGGACGCCTGCATGTGGGTCCCATCAGCCTTTCTCTTCCCTTCTGTGCATTGGGGTTAATATATGAAGAGAAAGGCACCCCCTCCAGGGTGGCTGAGAAGGTCCTTTCACCCCACGTCTGAAACGGCCGAGGACTAAGACTTCACCACCCGCCCCCTCTGGGTCTCGCCTGCACAGGCCGGTCTGTCTCCCTTCACCAGCCCCGCAAGCCAGGCATCCTCTGTTCCCCAGACAGGCAAGCGGGATCGCGTGGAGGTTAAGCCATGTATGTGAGACACCGAGCCAGGGCTGACGCCAGGCTGACCCTGAGTTTCCCTTCTACAATATGTTTTGGAGTCTCTTCCAGAAAGTTCTAAAGGCATCTTATTAAACCTAACCTGCTATATTCTTTATTTATTAATTTGAGAGAGAGGGAGAAAGAAAAAAAAAAAAAACCACGTTGATTTGTGCTTCCACTTATTCATGTCTTCATTGGTTGATTCTTGTATGTGCCGTGACTGGAGACCGAACCCGCAAACTTGGGACAATGCTCTAACCAACTGAGATACCCGGCCAGAGCTAAACTGACATATTTTAAGAGGATTAGGGGAGCCAAAGACAAAGGCTTTGTTCAGAAAAAGACACACCCAAGGCTCCCTCGGCCCTGAGCCTGCCCCTCAGGGATGCTCTTGGAGGGACCTCCTGGTTTCAGCTGTTTTCGAATATCCACAGCCAGGAACGCGGCTCAGTGACCGATGACTCAGCGCTTTTACGAGGAGCAAGAGTGCTCTTGTAAAACATCCCTCTTTTGCACAAACAGCCCCGTTCTAACTTTAAAGGCGATTGTGTTGTCTCCGCTAGCCAAGCACAATAAACAGCTTCGAAAGCCAAAAATGTTACTCTGACCCCAATATCTACATCGTCCTCGGAGCTCTGCCACTCTTGTTTGTTTTCCCTTGGCCGTCCCAAGTTCATTTGAACCGACACCCCCATCGCAGAGAATCCCCGCGGTTTTGCTCTGTTGGACGTGTTTACGACCACGGAGGGTTTCGTGTCTTTTTCTCGACATTTGTCTAGTCTGTCTTAGAGACCTTGATAAATACATTCACGGGGTCCATCTTCATTTTCTCTTGGAGCATTTATTCTTCGCCTATAAACTGCTCTTTCTAAAAATAAGACCCCAAGGCGCAGGGAAGAAGGCACCTGGGCCATCTGCCGGGGTCAGGCCCCCCTGCGGCGCTCGGCTGCGAGGGTCATGGTGCCCTTCGGTGTGTTTCAGCTACCTCCTGCCCCACCTCCTGCCGTCCAAACCGGGCCTGGACACCAACAGCATGCGGTACCCCACGGCCAACACCATCCAGAGGGTGTTCAAGATGAGCTTCGTTCCCGTGGGCTTCTGGCAAAGGTTTATAGCGCGGATGCTCATCAGCTTGGCGGAGATGGACCTACAGGTAGTGGCAAGTTCTTCGTGGTGTGAGGCAGGGCGGGGTGCACATGAGACACCCGCAGTTGAGCCCTCAAGGGCGGGAGACGCCCTTTGCCAGAGGGGCTGGTCTGAAAACCCTTTTCCTGCAGCAAAACTGCTGACTCAGGCGCTGGGAGGCAAGCCCTGAGTGTGGTTGCCTTCTCTCTGCTGAGCCCGCGGACCCACTGAGAACATTCAATGGGTGCCCGGCTCCTTGAAGAGCCGTGGTTAACCCACATCCAAACCCTCTGGAGGGCTGGCCCCCATGCAGAGGTTCTGATTCAGTGGATGTGGACCAGGATCCAAGGATTTGCATCTCTGCCCCTTGTCCCAGGTGATGCTTGGATAGGGGACTGCACTGGGAGAACCATGGGTTTCTGAGCCTGAGTTTGCCCCTGAGCCTGTGCCCTAAGCCAGGGGTCTCCAACCCCCCGACTGTGGACCAGTATCAATCCGCGGCCTGTTAGGAACGGGCTGCACAGCAGAAGGTGGGCGGCAGGAGAGCGAGGGAAGCTTTGCTCCCATCACCACCTGAGCTCCGCCTCCTGTCTCTGCCCCGCCTCCTGTCTCTGCCCCGCCCCCGTCCGTGGAAAAACTGTCTTTCAGGAAATCGGTCCCTGGTGCCCAAAAAGTTGGGGACCAGTGCCCTAGAAGCATCTGGGGAGCTTCTAACAGGCACAGACCGGTCCCCAAACCATCTAAGTTGAATCTTTGGACGTGGCACCCAGACTTGAGTATTCCCTTAAAGCTCCCCGTTGATTCCACTGCCCGGTCAAGTTTGAGGCCCACTGACCTAGAACTTGAACTTGGCCTCAAAGCAATGACCACCTAACCCAAGGAGTTATTTTCTGTGGGTTCACCTGGGGTCCTTGAAAGGACTCCCCGGCTGCCCATCAATGCTAATTTCAAGCAAGACAATAACGTGGAAACAGTATTTGTCCAGAGTGTTGGTTCTCCAAGTGGGGTTCCTGGGCCAGCAGAATCAGCTTCACCTGGGAACATGTTAGAAATGCAACATTCTTGGGCCACCCAGACCCCATGCATCAGAAACTCCCGGAAGGAGCCCAGCGCTCAGTTTTTCATAAGCCTTCCAGAAGATTCTGAGCCACTCTACAGTACGAGAACCCCCAGCCCAAAACTGCACAGTTAGTCAATTGACATTCAATTCAGGATGAGCGTACTGTTTGCAGTCTAATGAAAAGGCCCTTATGGAATTACAACTTCTTGGCTAAATACAGGTATTTGGGGATCTTCACATTTTGCTGAAATGTTAAAAAAATAAGGCAAGAGCCTGAACATTGTAACTTTCTCCGCCCACTGTTAGCAGGAAGGGTGGGTTGGTGGGAGGGGGGCCGGAGCAGCTGGCTCTCCAGCGGCCCCCATTCGGTCACTCGGTCACCCTGCCCTCCCTTTGAACTCTTCCTTCTGCCATATTCTATGTGGGAGGCCACCGAGCGCCAGCGTCCTGTGAGGCCTGAATTCCCAAGTGGGCTTGGTAAGAGGAGCGAGAGGCCGAGAGGCCGGGGCTCACAGGCGGGGGCAACCTTCCCAGTATCCTCCCTCCACTCAAAATTAAGAAAGAAGTCCCATTGAAATTCAGATGAGGAGAAGAAAGGAGTTTAGTCTCCTGAGTAGTCAGAGGCATGCAAATGCAAGCAAGGCTGAGGTGCCACTCCGCAACCCCCTCCCCACCCCCGCCCGCCCCCCCCACCGGCCGCCCCCATGAAGTTAGCAGAGCCAAGCCCCAGGATCAGGAAGCGTCCACACACTGGGGGCAGTATGTATATAGTTTAATCGTTTTTGAAAGTGGTTCCTCAGTGTAAAACGTTCAGACCCTGTCCCGATAAGCCTGCGGCTAAAAATCTGAACTAAGGGAATTCTTTGAAATCAGAGAAAGCTTTCTGCTTCTTTATGTTCATCTGGCTTGCTTGAAGGGGCCAAAAGTTAGGACCAATCTAAGTATCCGAAGGAGAGAAGGATCAGGAAATTGCTGTACTTCCTTTTGACCTTTAGGAAAATGAATTTTACATGTTTTTTTTTTAAAGATTTTATTTATTTATTTTTAGAGAGAGGGGAAGAGGGGGAGAGAAACATCAATGTGTGGCTGCCTCTTGTGCGCCCCTTACAGGGGACCTGGACCACAACCCAGGGATGGGCCCTGATTGGGAATCGAACTGGCAACCCTTTGCTTTGCAGTCCGGTGCTCAATCCACTGAGCCATACCACCCAGGGCAAATTCCACATAACTTTTTAAAGGTGTTGGTAAAGCGTAGCTTTGAATGGTGTACAGAGTTAGACATACAAAATTAGAAATTTAGAAAATTAGAGATACTGATTTAGAAGAGATGGTCTCGGCTGTTTTGGAAACATACATGTAGATAGAAAAACAATCTGGAATGAAATATACCATAATCCACCCCTGCCCCAGCCCCTTCCCTTGATAATTCATTTTCCACTGAGGTATTTTTCTAGTACACTGGGGGGTCAATCATGGTGGACCCATTAACGGATCACACACTGTGAACCCATATTTCTAACACGTATTTGTCCAGAGTGTGTAAGTGTGCAAAGAATTCTGATATTTGCCCATGGAATGTAAAAATACACTAAAACCTTCACAGTCTCTTTGTCTGGGAGTGTTGGTGTTTTATGCTTACCTTTTTTCCTGTATCTTCCTCATTTCTTACCATACATTTTTGCTTGTAACATCAGGTAGGGACAGTCTTGAGAAAGAAAAGCCTGTTTTCAGGCTTTTGGGGACAATGTTCCCAGGGTACCCCTGAGACCCCTTCTGATCACACGGCATTTAATTCTGCAGCTGGGTGAGCAGTGGGGAGGGTGAGGGTGGGGCAGACACTGTGGTCATTTGTCACTGTGGGGCCCGGCCGGCGCCCTCAGAGCTCTGCCCAGGGCCGCGGAGGAGCCCAGAATCCTTAAGCAGGGTCTTTTCTCTGTCTTTTCAGCTTTTCGAAACCAAGAAGAATACCAAGAGCAGACACCGTAAAGTCACCATTTACAGCTTTGCGGGGAACCAGAGGAATCGATGCAGCACGTTCCGAGTGAAAAGAAATCAGACCATCTATTGGCAGGAAGGCCTCCTGGTCACCTTTGAAGGGGGCTACCTCAGGTAGGGTCCCTGGGGTGCCTCCGCCAGGGGACTGTCCCCTCGGTGTCGAGTTCTGCTCCGGAGAGTGGCTCATCACAGCAGCTTGCTGGAAATAGGAGACACCCCGCCAAAAATGTCCCAGAGGGTCCCCACCTCCTCACGCCTCCTCTCTTCCCTTGTAGGATACAAGGCGAGGGACGCTGTGGTGACCAGCCCAGGGCTTGAGGGAACTAGGTGGCCTCTGAGCTCTGGCACCCTTGTGGTCACTTCGGTGACACACTACCCCGTCCCAGGACCTGTCCTAGATGATGTCACTAGTCCCGAGTGAGACAGAAGATACCTCCCTTGGCTCCGTTTTCCTCTTTTCTTTATTTTTTTGGAGAGAGGGAGACATCAAGTTTAATAAATAATTTTAATCCGGTTCAATAAACACACAAGATCGTTTCCTATTTACAATGAATTTTCCAAAATGTTCTCCAGCTCTGTGAGAAGAGAAGGGACAAGGGGAAAGTCTCTTTATCTGAGGGCCTGATTTGGGCCACCCTTGGCGCCTGGTGCCTTCCCGCAGATGTTTCCATTTCAACGTGACAGATGAGAATCCTGTAGGTCAGACAAGGAAGACCTTCCCCGCGGGGTCACGCCTGAGAGTCAGACTCCAGCCTGCGTGTCCCTTATGGCAAAGCCCTTTTTAATGTCCACTTCCCCGTGTTGGGGGCGGTTTGGGGACAAGGCAGGGCCATGCACACAAACGCAGGGGCTCCCCCTGACAGTCCTACCAGGGCACTGGACCCTAAGGGTCCCCGGAGGTTGGGTCCCCACCCCTGTATGCACGGCCGGCTGGATCACAGTGGACCCCTTTTTGCTTCTGGCTTGCAGCGTGGAATCCTCGGACGTGAACTGGAAGAAGAAGAAAAGTGGAGGAATAAAAATCATCTGCCAGTCGGAAGTGAGGGACTTCTCCGCCATGGCGTTTATCACAGACCATGTCAACTCCTTGATCGATCAGTGGTTTCCCGGTAAGAGAACGTTCTCAAACCCAGCCTTTGCAGGTGTTAATGCAATGGACCCTTGAACAACAGGGGTTTGAACTTGTGAGGTCTGCTTCTATACGGACTTTTTAAATAAATACACAGTTGGCCTCTGTATCCACGGGCTCTGCATCCACAACGTCAGCCAACGGTGGCTTGGAACAGCTTGGGGAATCCGTGGGTGCAGAGGGCGAACTGGACGCATTGTTCTACAGCATCCCACATCAGGGGCTTGACGTCCGTGGATCTGGGTATCTGCGGGAGTCCTGGAAGCCATCCCCCATGGATACCAAGGGGCGACTGTAGTTAAGCTTTGGGGCAACCACAACTTATATTCAGATTTCCAGCTGCGCGAGGTCAGCGCTCCTCACCCTCCACATTGTTTAAGGGTCAACTGCACTTCTTCCTAAATCTGCAGGCTCCTTCTGTGCAGATCAGAAATCCCAGTGGTATTCAGCCCAAGGAAATCCATGGGCTTCTAAGGGCCCGAAGGTGGAGTCTGACCCCCAGGGCGGGGGGTCCAGCTCTGGGCATTGGGGGGGCGGCGCTATGGGGAAGCTGTGGGCCCAGACCCCACAGGGCATGTGCTTGGCCCACCACATGTGGGAAGGACAATGACCTTGGACACGTGGTGCAAGAAGACAATGGGAGGCTCACAGGGTCATATTTGCCCAGCGAGGCCCGCGGGAGCCGCAGGTGGAGCTTATCCCTTGCGCAGGGGTGAGCAGGGCAGGGAGCCGCACCTGCCCAGGGCCCCCATGGTCCTTCCCTGCCTGCTCCCCACCCCGAATCCCACAGGGGCTCAGCCGTGGTCCTTTCCAGGCCCTTTGAGGGTCCACCCAAAGAAAACACTCTTTGAAGTGAAGCTGTTAGGCCCTCTCTGTTTGTTTTGCTACCCGAGTGGAGACAGACCCGCAGGCTGTTCTGCAGCGGGGAGGCCATGATCAGGGGCAAAACCCGGCAGCCTCTCCCCGTGAGCCCTCCCCTCTGAAGGCTGGCGGCCCAGCGGGCCCAGAGAGCGTTTGGAGCCCGAGCACTGCCACCGGCTTGCTGGCCAGTCCTCTAGCCTCCCCGCGCCGGCTTCCCTGCCGGCGCGCCATCCCTGCGTCCCAGGAGAGCGTCCGAGGAGACGCTGAAGGAAGCGGCCGGGCGTGCGGTGGTGCGCGCTGCAGACCCCAGGGCCTGGGGTCCCTCCGGTGCTGATGGGAAAGTGACCTACATGGAAAAAGGCTTAGGGGGCTTCAGAGAAGGCAGTTTCGTGTGTGAGTTGTGGCATTTAGGGGCGGGGTGCTTGGCCATCCGTGGGGGGGGGGCCTCTAGACCCATATGAACCCTCCCGGCCCTTGTTGTCTCCCCGCCCAGCAGCGGTCCCCACAGCAGGCGCTCCTGGGGTTCAACTGGGGTGCGGGGGGGGCATCCCATTAGACAGGAAGGACTGGGCTGAGGGCCTGATGGCGCTGCCTGGAGACACCACCGCCAACCAATTGGCAGGATGTTTTACACACGGCCTCAAGTGGCAAGTGCGCCCAGAAAGTTCTGGAAGTCCACCTCCTGCCCTGCACAAGGCAGGCCCTCACCCACCCCGAGGGTGCTTCCATGGGGTGTTTTTTGCACCTCATTTCAGAGACGTGCAGAAGAGCTGTGTGTCTTCTGCCCCTCAGAACCCACATAAAATGACTAGCTTTTGTCTCGTATGATTTGTCCTCATTTCTCCACCTGCATTGCTTGCTCTTCTACAAAGAATCGCCGTTCTTTGACCGAACCACTGGTTGTGTGGTCATTGGAGCCTGGCAAAATCCAGGGCTCACAGTGTCCGGCCGGGGCCAGCTGTGCAAGAGGGACCCCCAGGCTCCGGGCCCCTCCTCAGCCAGCCCGCGCAGGGTCTCAGCCCCCAGGCGGCCGTCCAGCGCACCTCCGACCCCTCCCTGGTCGCGTCTTTCAGGATGGAGGACAGAGCTCTCCAAAAAGGCACCCGAGCGCAGCAGCCGTTTCAGGCCCTCCCTGGGCGCCAGGCGAGAGCGGATAGACCCCCTCCTGGGACGGGCCCACCCAGCCTGGGCTTGCAGGGTGCTGCTCAGGGACGCCCCTGCAGCCGCCTTTGGGTGAGCTTCTCCCGCTCTGTCCCCACGTAGCCCTGACGGCCACAGAGAGCGACGGGACCCCCCTCATGGAGCAGTACGTGCCCTGCCCGGTCTGTGAGACCTCCTGGGCCCAGCACGCTGGCCCCAGTGAGAAATCGGAGGACGTGCAATACTTCGACATGGAAGACTGCGTGCTGACAGCCATCGAGCGGGACTTCATCACCTGCCCCCAGCACCCCGATGTCCCCGTGCCGCTCCAGGAGCTGGTGCCCGAGCTGTTCATGACCGACTTCCCGGCCAGGTATGCCACAGCCCTGCGCTGCACGGCGGCCACCTCTGCTTCCGCCCTGTCTCAGGTGACTTGTCCTGGGCTGCCTGTAGGAAACCGGGCCGCCGGCTTTCCACACGAGGCCACTCTGGCCCACTGGGCAGAGCACTTGGAGGGAGAAGTCCTTCCGGGACCCCATGCGGGGGAGCTCCTTTCCGCAGAGCCCTCTGATTCCTACTTTGCTACCTGCTCAAGGCATAGAAGTCAGATGCTCCTTGGTCTTCAAGGGGCACCCCTAGACCTGCAGCCCCGCTTTCCTTGCTTGGCAAACCCAACTCCTAACTGCGGCCCACAGCACTTGGATCTCCAAAGTCTGTTGAGTCTAATCTAAGACAGTAACGGTGGGGGAGAGGCTGGAAAAATGAAAAAAAAAAAACATTCTGTGGTCCCACTAAGCTAGAACCTTCAGGAAATCTAAGGGCTCGGTAAAAGGTGGACTCTTCTGTAGCCACAGAAACCGGAAACTATGCTCTGGTCTCCCTGAAGACAGTTTGACATTGGTTACTTACAGCTTGTTGGGAGTTGCAAAGTCCTGTTATTTTCTTATTCAGAGGATTGGTACATCTAGTTTCTTTAAGGAAAATTAAATTTGAGGGGAAAGGGGGAGAGAACATTGAACTTGCATGTTTCCAAATTGCTCCCCTGTCCCAAGGAAATAGATGTGAAGTACTGTGTGATAATTGTGGAACTGGAGTTCCAAAACCTGCTTCTCAATGAATCTGATCAGGCAAACTGGTCGTTGTTTGTCTCACCCGTCGATGTTTTCTCTCTCCCTACCTCTCTCTAAAATCAACAAACATATCCTTGGGTGAGGATTAAGACAATTAATTAATCAACTAAGGCATTGCTTCCCACGTTGGATACTTTCCCCTAGTGTTCTCTGCAACATCCGCAGTTACCTCATCAGAGAAAACACCAGTTAAACACCGCTCTCCTGTAAAATTATTTTCCTTTTTTTCCTGGCTCTTTAACATAAGGATTAGCATTGCGTGGAGATCACATGCAGAGTGTTGTATATGTAGGAGTCAGATTGAGGGGTGGGAGCGGGAAGGACCCCGATTAGGCAGCCCCAAAGTTTTAGAACTTTTGTTTATTTGCCGAACCTTGTTAGGTTTTGTGCCCACACTGAGCCTCGGCAGTGACTTGTATGGCGTGGAGTCTGGAAGGCCATGTTGCTTGTCCCTGTTGGTTTGGCTCTAACCTCAAGCTGTGGGAAGGTTCATCAACCAGGCCCCTTACCCAGGAGATGAATCGCCCAGCGATCTGAACAAGATCCACCATCCAGCACAGGCTCTCTGGAAACTTCAGCTGTGGCCCAACTATGGCCCCAGAGCATCGCACGCCCTCCCCGGGGACGTGGGGCAGGCGGCGTCTGCTCTGACCTGCGCCGTGTTCCCGGCAGGCTCTTCCTGGAGAACAGCAAGCTGGAGCACAACGAGGACGAGAGCAGCATCCTGGGCCAGGGTGGCAGCGGCACCGTCATCTACCGAGCCCGGTACCAAGGCCAGCCCGTGGCTGTGAAGCGATTCCAGATCAAGAAGTTCAAGAACTTCGCTAACGTCCCAGCAGGTAAACAGGACCCTGCGTCATTTCCTTTCAGACACAGGCTCCCTGGGTCCAAACTGCATGCCTGAGGCCGCAGCCCGTGGGTACAAGGAGGAGGGTGGGTGAGGCCACCGCGGACCCCGGAGACGGCCCCGTTTTGTGCCTGGCAGGGCGTGGGATCAGGCTGAGTGAGGCCTGGAATTTGCTTTGGGGGCTCACTCTCTTGCTTAAACGTGAGCACCGAACAACCTGAGCTACTCGTACTATTTCCATCCGCTCCACGTCCGGCCCAGGTCTGGCACGTGGGGGGCCCATAATCAGACCTCAGGCAGACCCCTCAGCCTGCGGGACCCCCTCAGATGCCGCCACTAAAGCACAATGGGCTCTCCAGACAGATGAAATTGAAAAGCCAGCGTGGGGTCCGTCCACCCTCACAAAGGCCCACGCATTGTGCACGGTTCCTGGATGGTCTCCACCCATCACCGCTTGACACCCAGTGTGGGCGCTGCGAGGCGTCCTCACTGCAGCCAGCTGACTGTCACCTTCGTCCCTACCCCTGGCTCCCCCTGGTCATCATTAGGATCCTCACAGTAATTTACAGTCTCGGTAGAAAAATTAGAATCGTGGAGCCGTAGAAAGAAAGCGGATCAGAGAGGAAGAGACAAAAGTGTAGTGATATGAAGAGGACGTGACTTTCTGCGCAGAAAATCTAAGGGATCCTGGACAAGCATCAGAGTCGGGAAGGGTTTCATAAAACGTCTGTGAGTGTGTGTGTGAGGGGGAACGTGGACTGATTGTAAAATGCATGTAAAATAACAAAAGCCCGGGAACAGCCAAGAAAATTCCACAGCGGGCAGCAAAAGACAGAGGCCTGCCCCGCCAGTGTCCCAACGTGCACGTGTACAGACGTTGCGGCGGTTTTCTCCCGGGCGCCGACTGGCTGTCTAGGGAGGAGACAGAGCATGACGTGTGAGGGAGGCTGGCAGATGACGAGGTGACATCGTGCGTGGAGGAAAGCCTGACTTGTCAGTAAACTGGGGTGGAGGCGTGGGTCAGACCTCACACCGCAGTCAAAAATGAATCCTTAATGGTTTAAAGACCGAACGTGGGAAACACAACCTTCGTAGTTAAAAAACAAATCTGGCCACACTCACATGTACGGATTTTAATCGCCAAGATGGTTTTCCACGCGGGTTGACCCTCCGTGTCCGAAGGTCTCCAATTTAAAAATCTGACCGTAGAGGAGGGACAGATCGGGACACAAGAGGACAAGCAGGGCCTGGGGGTCCTGCTGCGAGGCCTCAGGGCTGGCCACAGCCCAGTGGGTGGCGTCCTGCTCCTCTGCTCGGCGGGGCAGGTGCCTTCTGTCGGGGGTGCGTTCCTGGGGCATTGGGAGGTTATAGCACAGGTTCGAAATCACACCAGCCGCACGCCTTCCTCCTCCGGCCTGAGGTGACGTGTCTCAGGCCTGTAGCTGCCCCACAGTTTTCCCTGGCTGATGAGAGAGGCCAGTGGTCCTTTCTGTCTTGGGTGGCCCTGGACACTGGGTGGGGAGTAAAGTGGGCGGCGGAAACCAAACCCTCAGCACCCTTGCAGGTGAGCATTCGGGGGCCTGGTAACGACGTGCCGCCTGAGCCAGGCTCCAGGTGGGACTCGGGATGCAGAACTGGAATAAGGCCCAACGGTGCCCCTCCGGCAGCCTGCAGCGGGGGGCGGGGTGGGAGCGACGTCTAGGGGACACGGGAGAGGTCATGCCCAGCCGTCCACTGACGAAGCAGGAACCGCCACGTGTGATGGGGATGAGTTTATTGGATGAGGAGCCGGGGGCTTGTGTCAGCCTAGAAAGCCTCAAGAATCCCACATTTGAGGCCAAATTCTGAGGGACAATATCGCAGGCCCCTGATACACTGAGTGCTTTGAAATGTAAATGCTGGCCCCCGCCAACCACAGTGCAGCCAGAACCCTCAGCCAGGTGGCCCCAGACAGGCCCCCTGGGCAGGCAGCGCAGGGCCCAGCAAAGCAGGCTGCTCCTCCTCACGGGCGCCCCTGCACCCCCGGGCAGCGCTCACGGCCATGCTGTCCCCTGCAGACACCATGCTGAGGCACCTGCGGGCCACAGACGCCATGAAGAACTTCTCGGAGTTCCGGCAGGAAGCCAGCATGCTGCACGCCCTGCAGCACCCCTGCATCGTGTCTCTGATCGGCATCAGCATCCACCCCCTCTGCTTCGCCCTGGAGCTCGCCCCGCTGGGCAGCCTCAACACTGTGCTGTCCGAAAACGCCAAAGGTACCCGCCGCTGCGAGAACCTCCTGCAGGGGGTGGCCGGGTGGTCCTGGGGGGCGTGAGAGCCCATGGCCGGCAGCCTGGGCCTGGGGGCTCCTTGCGGCCTGGCTTGGCTCTCTGGGGCCAGGCACAGCTGTCTCAGCCCACGAGGCCGCCTGCCTGTGGGTGATGGAAAGCCCCCCCCCAGGTCTAAACCTATGCGGTGGTGGTGGTGAGGCTGCAGGAGCTCCCGCTTTGGAGTCAGAGAGAAGCAGGTTCAAGGCCTGGTTCTCCGCCATGATCCCGGAAGTTGCTTAACCTTCTCGCCTGTAAAAGGAGAACGGCCACAACCCCACTGGGAGCGCAGTTGAGCCTCAGATGGGCAGCCGGGGAGGCCCGAGACAAGCTCCCCTGCCACGTAAACCTCTCCCTCAACTGTGACGGGCCCTATGTGTCCGCCGTTGTCAACACTCTGAGACCCTGGGGTCAGTTTTATCCTAACTTATGCTTTTAACAAAATTTTAAAATAATTTACCTTGAGCCCTGGCCGGGCAGCTCAGCTGGTTAGAGCATCGTCCCGATGCGCCAAGGTTGCGGGTTCAATCCCCAGTCAGGGCACATAAAGAATCAACCAATGAGTTCATGAATAAGTGGAACAACTAATCAATCTCTCTCTCTCCTTTCCCCCTTCCTCTCTCTGTCTAAAAATCAATAGAAAGAAAGATATAAAATAAAATAACTTAGCTTGAGACATGGATAACTAAACTCCAGAGAGCTGACAGAGACAGGGAGTTAGTTGTCTTTTGACTCAGGAAAAACAAATGCAGTTAGAATCAATGATTTCTGCTTCAGTGGAAGACATTCTTTTTAATCAAGCTCTTACACCTGCAACTTGGCCCTTGACCATGTAGCAACCCTGGCCTGAGATTCTGAATACTTGCTGTTTGGGCAAATAGACCAACTCCTGACCTTAGATGCCATGAATGAAGCTGTAATGGCAGGCGCTTTTGTCCTAAATAATGTTTTGCCAAAGAAGATCAGACTCCATCTCCTCTGGCACCCAGCAGGGAAATGATGAGAACATGTTGGTGGAATATAAAGCATTTTGGGAGACAGAGGTAAGAAAAGAGCATAGTTGTTATCCTGACAGTATGGTATGTTCTTCTTTGCAAAGATTCTTCCTTTATGCCCCTGGGACACATGCTCACGCAGAAAATAGCCTACCAGATCGCCTCCGGCCTGGCCTACCTGCATAAGAAGAACATCATCTTCTGCGACCTGAAGTCGGACAACATCCTGGTCTGGTCCCTGGACATCAAGGAGCACGTCAACATCAAGCTATCGGACTATGGGATTTCGAGGCAGTCTTTCCACGAGGGCGCCCTGGGCGTGGAGGGCACCCCTGGCTATCAGGCCCCGGAGATCAGGCCTCGCATCGTGTATGATGAGAAGGTACCCACCCCAGCCCACCACCGTCCCCTGGCCCGGCCCACCCCACAGCTCAGGAGGAGCCCAGGCCTGTGTCAGGCCAGCCAGGTAGTCCTAGCAGCACTGGTAGCTTCTGAGCTCTGGGCACCTCCCACCTCCGCCCCCAAGCAGATAGATCCTTGAATAATTGCTCCAAGAATAACCTAAGCGCAAGAGGGTTAACTCAGCACCTATCGCTGTTAACCAAGAGAGAAAAGGCAAATCACAGTGAGAAAAATCAGAGCTTCTTAGTAGCAGGTGCCACAGATGATGTAGCTCAAAACCAAGATTATAACAGGAATCTTCACAGTGATGGATGGATGGAGAGATGGATGATGGATGGGTGGATGGGGGATGGATGGATGGACGGATGGGTAGGCAGGAGGATGGGTAGATAAATGTGCAGAAGAACAGGTGATTAGGAGGGTAGAAGGAAGAAAGGAAGGACAGGTGGACAGACTGGGAGATGGATGGATAAAGGCACAGAATGATGGGTGATCAGGTGGTTCCCTGGACGTTGGGACGGGTGGAAAGAGATGGGCGGATTGGTGGATGCATTGATGCGTGCCTCCCTTTGGACAGGGCCCACGTTCTCCTTGTCTAACGGGGTCTCCCGCTCCCTCCTTCTCGGGGCCAGCTGGCTGGAGGGGCCGGGCCCAGGCAGGGGACCTGACTTGCCTTGCCTCTCTGCCCAGGTAGACATGTTCTCCTATGGAATGGTGCTCTACGAGTTGCTGTCGGGACAGCGGCCTGCGTTGGGCCACCACCAGCTGCAGATTGCCAAGAAGCTGTCCAAGGGCATCCGCCCGATTCTGGGGCAGCCGGAGGAAGTACAGTTCCACCGACTCCAGGCGCTCATGATGGAATGCTGGGACACGAAGCCCGAGAAGGTGCCTGGGGCCCAGGGCCCGGGGCCCCGCCCCTTCAGCCACTGCAGGGGAGGCTGCGGGTCCCCAGAGCCCACATGGACTGCTGCCTGCCCACCCCTCACGAAGGAGCTAGAACAAACAGGGCAGCTCTTTTCTGCTTACCTGTTCTAGAAAGAGACCTTTACAACTCCTAATTCATCCAGATCATTTTTGTTGCATGCATATCGCTATTGGGACAAGTGAACTTTCTTTTCCTCCCCAACGTCCGTGTTCTATCATCATGCAAACAAAGCATACCAGCCTCTTTGTGGCAACACTGTCCCCACGCAGGAGCGGAGAGCCTGGCTGTCTCTTTGTAACATAACAGGAAGAAGGTTTGCTCATGAGAAACGGGAGCCACATGATCATTTTAAAGCTAGTTGTTTTTTGGAAAAGGCCAGCAGTTTCAGGTTGAAACTCATTTATCAGTTTCGAAGGAGCTAGTTTAATGTATTGGCTGTAAATGAGGTCTGAGAAAGTTCCTTTACAAGATCGTACATCCTAGGCATGGGGGCTGGAATGTCACTGTGCTAACTAACCTCCTCCTCTGAGTCTGAGTTGTCGTGGATGACGATGACCCAGATGCCCAGACGGGTCTGTTTCTGGCATCTGTTTTGTCTCTAATTTCGACGGGGTCTTGAATGAACAAATTGCACTCCTCCCGCCCTGGGAGAAGGCCGTTGGTTTTGTGGGCAGAATGGGCATCTGTCCACCTGTAAGTGACCCCGGCTCACAGCTCTGGTGGGCTCTCTCCTGCAGCGACCGCTGGCCCTGTCCGTGGTGAGCCAAATGAAGGACCCCACCTTTGCGACCTTCATGTACCAGCTGCCCTGCGGAAAGCAGACGGCCTTCTTCTCGTCCCAGCGCCAGGAATACACAGTGGTGTTCTGGGACGGAAAAGAAGAGTCCAGGTAACCTCCTGAGGCTTTCCACGCCCTGCTGGCATCAGAGTGGGAGTGACCTTGGAATGGGGGGCCAGTCAGAGACGACCGCGGTGGGAGCCATTGAGTGCACAGTGGACTGAGAGCCCAGCGGGGCCTGCTCAAGGGAGAAAACTGAGCCCCCCCCCCCGCCATAGACATGCACGTATGGGTTTGTGAGTAAGAGAAGCAAAGAAGCGGTGATATCTGCTAGGGGCGGGGAGGGCAGGGGTCGAGGGAGGGCTTTGTTTTAAGACAGGAGCTATGTCCAGCTTGATGGTAGAGGGGGTAAGTGATTCTGGGGATAAGGGAGAGAAGACAGGTACTGAGTGGAACTGCTGAATAATGAGAGATGAGTGAGGGAGCCTTTCTTTCTTCCCAGTGGGAGTGGCCTTAGCCTGCCTGAATGTTCAAGCGTTACCAGGCAGGCAGAGCCCGGCTCGGCCCAGGCCACGAGCAACCCCTGGTTCTCCCAGAACAGGACGAATTCAACCCTGGGCCCGTGGGGGAGGACAAGGCCGACTGCTGGTGTTCCTCCTCCAACGCTGCCACCAGCCCGGCCGGGATGAGGCGGTGGCCCGCAGCCCCCGTGAGCTGACCGCACGCTCGCTGCCCATTACAGGAACTACACTGTGGTGAACACGGAGAAGGGCCTTCTGGAAGTGCAGCGGATGGGCTGTGCGGGCATGAAGCTGAGCTGTCAACTCAAGGTCCAGAGCTCTCTGTGGACGGCCACCGAGGTAAGCACCCCGCACCCTGTGCAGGGCTCTCATTGTGCAACGCCAGGAGCCAGACGGAACAACGGAAAATGCAGGCCACCGGGATCCGTTGCATTTCCAGGGACCCCAGTCCTCACCTGTGAGACCCCTCCCCGCCCCCGAGCAATGCCAGCGGCCCTGTGACCCAGCAGCATCTCCAGCTTGTCCAAGGCTGGAGACAGGGACTCAGCCATGATAAGCGTCAGGGGCAGAGTCCCAGCAGGAGAACCCCAGTTGCTCAGTGGGTTGGTGATGTGACCGGGCTTCTTATAACATTGCCAGGGCTGCCCAGCAAATCCATTCGGCTCAGAGGCCTTGTGCCTTCCCGTCACAGAAGTCAGCAGAGCCCTGGGCCGGTGAGGCTCTGTTGGCTGGAGTGTCTTCTTGTAACCTAAGGGTTGTGGGTTCGATTCCCAATGAGGGTGTGTATGATCCTGGTCCAGGCATGTGTGGGAGGCAACCAATCAGTGCTTCCCTCTTGCATCGATATTTCTCTCCTTTCCTCTGTCTCTAAAAAGCGATGAAAAAAAAAGTTCTCAGGTGAGGATTTAAAAAAAAAAAAAAAAAAAGGCAGCAGAAGGCCCACGTCACTGTCTTCTGAGGAGTCCAGAGAGGAATGCCCGAAAACAGACGTCCTAGGGTGGATGGGAAGGTGCGTGGGGTTATAAATCGGCGCAGCCTTCCCAGAAGGCAGGTGGATCTGAAATCTCTCCACATCACATAAGCCTCCATGATTTCAGTCTTGAGAATTCGTTCTAAGAAAATAACCATGACGCACAGAGGTAAACACATCTGTCCGAATGCTCATCCCAGAACAATTCCTAGTAGTGAAGACTTAGAAGCAGACCCAAGGTCTGGCAACAGATGAACCACACAGTGGTGCATTCAGGGATGGAGAGCAAAGGGAGCGCACACTTTGTCCCCTCGCGGGCCAGTCGTTGGGGCCTCTGCCTGCAGTGGGTGTTGTCCCGGGAGGAGGCAATGTGACCACAGCAGGAACAGGGACACCCTCCACCAGAAACTGAAAGTCCATGTCCCATCCCCCAAAGCTGGTTTTCTCCAGGCAGCAGATTATGGGCAACTTTATTTTTCTTCTTGAGACAGCCCTGTAGTTTTCCGTTTCTACAAAGAACAGAAATCTGGAAACAACCAACCAGAAAGCATCCATACATGTGACTTTCTAAGGCCCAAAGGGAGTCCAAGACGGAGTCGGGGCGCGTGTCAGCCCAGGCCTTACGCTGGCTTCTGTGCCTCTGCAGGACCAAAAGATCTACATCTACAGCCTCAAGGGCATGTGTCCCTTAAACTTGCCTCAGCGGGCTTTGGACACCCCGGCCGTCGTCACCTGCTTCTTGGCAGTGCCTGTTTTAAAAAAGGTGAGGTGCCGAGGTTGGGGAAGGTGCACGCCCATATGACTGATACTCCCTTCCTAGGTCTCTTGGGGGCGGGGAGCAAAGCCACGCCCTTTGGATCGCCACGCCCCTTGAACAGCCACGCCCCCTTGAACAGCCACGCCCAGGTCTCCGTCTGCCTAGAGACCCAGGGAGCCTGCACCATCCTTAGCGCCCATCCGCTTTGGGAGAACCTACACAATCAGTAAGACCGAGCGCTCAGTGGAACGTTTGCATTCCTCACGCAAATACCACACTCCCAGATTTCGGCGAAATGCTATCCTGGCGTAAATGGTGCAAACGAGCAGCCCCGCAGAGCCTGGCTGGCCCTGTCGCCGCCCCTGTGGGCCGTCCAGAGGACCGCCATCTCCGCCTCCTCTGGAGTGTTCACTGTCAGTCCTCGGGCGGGGACCCTCTTTGTCCCATATGGGACCCCAAGCCCAGACAGCTCTGCATGGCCGGTGAGGCTCCCCGGACTCCCCCCCACACCCCAACCCACCCAGCATCACACTCTAAGGGGGCCCTTCCCACCAGGAATTCTGGCTGCACCTGCCTTTCCCAGACTACCTCCTCTTCCATTCTCAAGGTCAAAGCCAGGGCCCCAGCTCTGAGATGCTCCCCCTACTGCCACCCCTGCCCCTCAGCAACATTCTCAGGCTTCCAGAATCTGGGCAACGCTCCCCGCCCTTTTCTGCCCTGAGACCCCTGCCCGAGGCTCCCCAATCCCAGTACCTGAGCGAGGTGTTATTACAGGTGTCGCTTTGTGAGAACGTGCAGGCTGGCTGTCATCACCCAACCTCGGTTTTCCCATCTGTAAAATGGGGGTGAAAAGACATTGTAAAAAAGATCTGCAGCCAGGGCATCCCGTACCCCAGAGGTCCAGGCTGTGGTGCTCGGTAAACACAAGCCTTATTGCTATTTCCTGAGGGTCCCGAAATATATGCGCTCTTCCTTCCCCCTTCCCACAGTTTCATTGCTTTAAAAAAAAAAAAACAAAAAAAGCCTGAAGTCAACCTTAGAATCATTTATGACTGCAGCCCCATGAGCAAGGCCGGGCGGCTCGCGACCCGCTCGGCACCAGCACGCAGGAGAACACAACACAAAGCGTTATTTGAGGCCACGGCTGGCCGGAGCCCCCGAGCCAGGGCACCGCCGCCCGCGCGACCAGAGGGAATAAAGCCGGCTCTGTGCGGAGCCTCCCTGCCAGGGTACCTGCCCCCGGAGGCCGCACGCGGCAGACCCCTGCATTCTTGCACGCGCACGTTCACACCCAGCCGGGCCGCGGAGCTCACGGCCCGGCCTGGGGCCTGAACCAGCACTCCAATAAAGACGTGGCTCCTGTTTGCCTTGGCCGCTTTCTTCCCTAAAATCCTGAAGATGGATTTCGATAAACGTTCCTCGGGCGTATGGACCTCGCTCTTGCGCTGGCGGCTGGGTCGCTCTTTACCTTAGGCAGCCCAACACCGCCCCTCCGTTTCTCCAGCTCCCAACCTGCCCAAGTTCCTCCAGCCCCCAACTAGGGGGCTTTCTGCCGCTCCCCCTCACCGGCGCTAGGCCTGGATCCCTGCTGTGTCCTGGCCTCGCTTTGCTCTCCTGACCTCTTCCCTCCCAGCCCCACCAGGGCAGCAGGGCTGAGAGGCTGCGCCTTGTCCCCTGCTTATCGCAGATGCTCCGGGAGGCCCATCAGCCGGGTCGGGTCGCTGCAACGTCGGCCTCTTTGCGGTGACCTCTAGTGGCTGTAGAAAGGCACACGCTTCACTGGGGGAGTCTGGCACAGTGTTTGCTGGACCACAGGCACATCCAAGCAGACGAAGGAAGCCGGGAGGGGATGGGCCCCGGGCAGTGTTGCCACGAGAGGGTCGAGGTGGAAGCGCTTTCTTTAAGAATTAGTTCTGCAGGTGTGTGTTGTACCTGGAGCTGAAAACCGCATGGGGTCGCCGAGCTGAGTGGGACTCAGCCCTGCCCTGCGCCAGGGAGGGCACGCGTGCCGGTGGGGAGCTCGAGCTGCCGGGGCTCTGCGTGAAGGCAAGCCTGGCCCCGCCTTGAGGAGAAAGGGTGTCACGCTTCCCTGTCTTCTCCCAGCAGAATGCCTACCTGGTGCTGGCGGGCCTGGCAGATGGGCTGGTGGCGGTGTTCCCCGTGGTGCGGGGTGCCCCAGACGACAGCTGCTCCTACCTGTGCTCCCACACGGCCAACCGGGCCAAGTTCAGCATCCCAGACGAAGACGCGCGGCAGAACCCCTACCCTGTGAGGGCCATGGAGGTGGTCAACAGCGGGTCCGAGGTCTGGTACAGCAACGGGCCGGGCCTGCTGGTCATCGACTGTGCGACCCTGGACATCAGCAGGCGGCTGGAGCCCTACACGGCGCCTTCCGTGGTCACCTCGGTCGTGAGCAGCTCTGAGTGCAGGGGCGAGGAGGTGGTTTGGTGCCTCGACGACAAGGCCAACTCCTTGGTCATGTACCACTCGGCCACCTACCAGCTGTGCGCCCGGTACTTCTGCGGGGACCCCAACCCCCTGAGGGACATGTTTCCTGTGCACCCGTTGGGCTTGGAGCCACCGGACAGCCGCACAGCCAGCCCCAAGGAGCCCGAGGGGGACTCCATCGCAGACGTGAGCATCATGTACAGCAAGGAACTGGGCACGCAGATCCTCACGCACCAGGACTCGCTGACCGACTACTGCTCCATGTCCTCCTACTCCTCGTCCCCACCCCACCGGGCCCTCCCGTCCCCCTTGAGCCTGCCCTGCTCACCGGCAAGCTCTTCCAGCGTTCCCTTCTCCACCGACTGCGAGGACTCGGACAGGCTGCTAGAGCCCGCGGCCGGCTCTGACAGGTCCGAGCACGAGCTGACCCCTGTGGATGGGGAGGCTTTCAGCCAGCACCTGCAAGCCGTGAAGGTCCTCGCTGTGAAGGACGTCATCTGGGTCCCCAGGTAGGTCTCCCAGCAGTGGGGCGCGACCTTGGGGGCGTCCCCTGCTTTCTCTTGGGGGAGGGGCAGAGGGAAGGACGCTTTGAGATACTGTCACGACCCATCGACCCATTGGGAGCTGCTCCCTCGATTCTGAAATCTGGAGGGATCTCTCGAGCAAATCTGAGAAGGGCGGCACTAAAGCTCATCTGCCCGCCGGAGAGCTGAGGGCACCACGGCAGGGAGCTGCGGTCAAGTGCGATCCGGTTTCCTACTGGGAAAGGGCTTGCGCTCCGGCGTCGGTGCCCCCTCCGCACCTCAATCCATTAGCAGAAACTGCGCGTTTGTTGCCTTGCCTTTCTGCACGGCAGCTCCATTTCCCCTGGAGAGCACAGCCCTCGACAAAGCGCTTCCCCTTCTCGGTTCTGGTTTCGCAGGCGCGGGGGAGATGTTATCGTCATTGGCCTGGAGAAGGACGCAGGCGCCCAGCGGGGCCGAGTCATTGCAGTCCTGAAAGCCCGAGAGCTGACTCCATGGGGGTAAGACTGAGAGCTCTTAGGTCCAGGGCTGTGGCGGGGGCGGGGGGGGGGCGCGGCAGGGGGGATCTAGGCTCACAGCCACGTCCCTGCACAGTGGCCCCCACCCTCCTGTCCTCCGCAAATAAAAGCCACATCCACCAACGTGGCCTCAAGGCAGGTGAGGAGCAAGGTGGGGCGCCGCAGGCAGCTCCCGGGAGGTCAGCAGATACCGGCTAAACCAGACATCAGCCTCTGGGTGCGGCCACCTGTCTCTGGTGACCAAGTGCCCTGCTTGGGGTACATTGCCAGGACCACTGCCATGGAAACGGGGATCCAGGCGACTCACTGCCCATCCCGCCAAGCACGAGAGCCCTTACCAAGGTGTCCCACCTGCCCAGGCAGCACCAAGTAGGGCTTTGTACCCTTCTACTGGGGGGCCCTACTGTGCTGGGCAGGACAGACTGTCCAGACCCTATCTGCCCAGCGGCAGAGATGGGAGGCTGGCACCAGCGGGGCCCCGCAGTGTTTGCACGCCCCACTTGGTCTCCGGAACCCCGTGCCGTCGATCTCCCTCATGGAGAAATCCCACCAGGCCTGTCTCACCCACGATGACCCAGGAGATGTCCGTGGCAGCGCCTCTCCCTGGCCCCATCCCCATGTCTAGTTCTCGCAGGGCATCACCACGGCTAGTGACTCTAAAAATAAGATCTGGGCTTGCTGCTGAGCCCTGCAGAGCGTGGGCTGCGGCTTTGGACTGAGGTCCTTCCGAGATCATAGGTGGGGCTTCTGCGGGAGCAGGTGGGTCTGTGGAGGCCAGGGCTGTTGACCTCAGGGAGCCTGCTCTCAGTGTCCCTCCATTTTCCCCATTTATCCCCCAAAAGTAGGTTTACCAAGAGCCAGGCATGCTCGCTCCCTGGAAGGAGAAAGCGGCTGAGCCCACCAGCTCTCTTGAGATGCAGCTGACGTGTTGGTTCCCTCGGCAGATAGCTAGAGAGGGCCTGCAGTGAGCAAAACCCTGAAGGGCCAGTGGGGGGCCCGGGGCATCCTGGTTCCCAGCACCAGGGCCCGCTGAGCATCATGGGAGGAAGTGGGCTGCACAGTCTGGCGAGGGGCCGGGAGGAAACTGCGCAAGCCCAGATTGTGAGAAACAACTCGCAGCCTCTTACTGAAGGTTTTCTGCCTCCTGTGTTGCCCTGTATTTCCTAAACCTGTGGACGCTTAGAACAGGAAAAGAATTATGCGCAAGGCAAGGGCACTGAGTTAAAGTCAAAATTCATCACAGGCCACGGACAAGCAGAAATTAGAGTCGATGGTATTTTCTGGGCACCTCACAGGAGATCCCTTCCAAGGACAACCGCCCTCTGTGAACCTGAGCTGATGCCCTTCATTTCTCTTTAGATGTTAGAAAGCCTCTACTCAAGGCAGGACCACCCGGGAGGAGCCGCGGGGCCTCAGAGCCCGTGGGCAGGGCCAGGCCGGGATGCACACGCTCTGCCCTCCCGAGCAGGTGCAGGGCAAGGGTCCCAGCCCCGACCTCATGGGAACTCCACGGGTCAGCTCAGGCCGCTCCCCCTCCCTGCAGGGTGCTCGTGGATGCGGCTGTGGTGGCCAAGGACACGGTCGTGTGTGGCTTTCAGAACGAAGACATGGAATGGTGCCTGGCTGTCTGGAGGGGCTGGGGGACCCGGGAGTTTGACGTTTTCTACCAGTCCTACGAGGAGCTGGGTCGGCTGGAGGCTTGCACGCGGAAGAGAAGGTAATTCCTGTGGAACGGCCGCCGCTTGGACCTGGCTGGCCCAGGCCAGTGCGCTGACCTTTCTGCCTGCATCCTGCTGTCCTCGGCGGGCCCGGAAGACAAACTGGGCTCTCTCGTGGGCCACTTGCTGCTAAGAAGTGCTGAGAAGTTCCCGCCCCTGGCAGTGGTTTCGGGACTCTCTGATACTCCCACGCCCCCCTCCCCCCCACACCAAGCCCCCACCATTGCTGGTTTTACAGCCCAGGGGGAGAGGGTGGGGCTGGGTAGCAGGAACTCCCCCTGCCTTCTCCGTCCATCCTCTTCCAGGAACGGGGGAGGAGGGCCCTGTTCTGGGCTGGGCCACGAGTCTGGGCCTTGCCGGCTTGCAGGGCCCACCCATTATCCTCTCCAGGTCTGGGATGGAATTACACTAGCCGCTCTCAGTTGGGGAGCCATTCAAGGCAGGGAGGGAGGAGGGCCGTGACCCCTGCCCCTTCCCCTGATGGCCCCCCAGTTCTCAGCCTATTTCACAAGCGCCTGAGTCCCCGGGGCCCGGGGCCCTGCTTGGGGAAGCTGAGATCGTATGTCTCCGGCCCGGGAAAGTCTCTGTGAGAAATCCCCAGAAGGACCCTCGGCGAGGAGCGTTGCCCAATCCGGGGAATGAATGAGTCCCTTGAAGTGGCACAGCCGGCAAGCCAAGAGCCCGCTCGCCCAGGGCCCGGGCAGCCCTTGCATTCTCCTCCCGCCGACAAAAGGAAGGAGGCACTCAATCAGCAGACTTGAGAAAGGGCCTTGTGTTTATCGCTTTGTAAAATAAACTTGGATGCAGCTGGAGCACAAGCCCTGTTTGTTTGCACATAATAATCTTGCTTATCACTTTAACAAATTAAGGAATTTCGCAGCCGTTAGGCCCCTGGTCGGGGAATTACATCCTGCGGCGCTCAGAGCAAAATTACGTATTTGCTAAACGGTGGCGACACACGTGTACAGCAGAACAGAAAGAGCGAAACTGTGGACGGGGGCCGTGTGGGTACAACGGCAAGAATTGTTAGAAGCCCTGCGCACACACGCGTGCAGACGTACCCGCGTGGTTTCCGAGAGGAACCACCGGAGGCTGCCGAACTCCAAACGGGAGCTTGAATGTAGAATCATCCTCCAGGTCGTGCTGTGGACCTTCTTCCAAAATGAAATCATACAAATCAAACCTAAGATTTGCTGGGGTGTGCAGACCAATGTGACTGCTTTTATTTGAAAATAAACAGGCTCTTGAGAATGAAGTCATGTTCTCCGTCTGCAGGACGCTTGGAATAGCAGCATCGCCCAGTCCCACCCAGATCGACTCCCTGCCCGGGGCCGCATGGGCGGGCCCCCCACCCCCCCGCACCCGTGCCTGCTGCCCCATAGCCGTTTCCATGGGCAGAGACAGCCAATCTGTCTCCCCACTTCCTTTCACTGGCCTGGGTGCTGAGTCCCAGAGCGGCTGAGGATCTGTGCCTTCTTCTGCCCACTTTGCTGCCGTGTCCCTGCCCCGGTCCCTCAGCAGGGCCTTCGTGGGCACCGCTGTCCTCATTGCAGCTTTCCACAGCTGCCCAGTTAAGTCCCCAAGTGCAAATAGGGTCCTGTCCTTCCCCAGTCCCGAACCTGCTCTCCACATCACCTGCAGCCGACTGCTATGCAGGCAGGGTCCCCGTGACCCAGTCCCAGCCGCCTTTCCGGCCTGGCTTCCCCATTGTTCCCGACCCCGACTCTCGTCCTACCCGCCCAGGGCCAAGCTGCCCCAAGGAATGGCCTTCCAGAGCCAGCTTAGGGAAGAACTTCGTCGCAAAAGTTAGAAACCACGCAGGAAATGGTTGTTTAACGAGCTTGATGATAAAAATTAGAAACGTACAGGGAAAAATGATCTCGAAGTCAAAAAATGGACAGTCACCTGGGGAAAAAAACAGTTCGCAGTAAATGCAAGACACAAAGAGTTTGTACCTATCAATCAGAAAGAAAACCCGAAAGGAAAACAGGTAGCCATGAGCAAGAAGCGGATTCGCAAAGACCCGTCAAAATCAATGCTCGGCGTCACCCAACAGGAAGGAGAATTGCCATGAAAGCAGCAATAAATCGCCATTTGCCACCCTCATCTTGGCAAAGGTTAGCCAGAAATTATTTCTTGAACGCCTACTAAGTGTGGGGCACTGTCCCAGGACATTGATAATCTAACAGACAAGAATCTCTGCCTCCAGGGAGGTGACAGTGAACAGCGGTCTCGACCTTTCTGGCGCCAGGGACTGGTTTTGTGGGAGACAATTTTTTCTAGGGACCAGCGTGGGGTGGGGTGGTTTCGGGATGAATCAAGTGCATTACATTCAAGCTCACCCCCAGCTGTGTGGCCCGGTTCCTAACAGGCCCCGACCGGTACCGGTCCATGGCCCCGGGGGTTGGGGACCCCTGACGGTGAACACACAAATGAGAGCCCGGGCCCAGAAGACCAAAAGATTGGGAAATTGGGAGCTGATGACTGAGGGGCTTCTCCATTGAACTGAGGCTGGGCAAGGCCTGCAGGTAGAAGTACCATCTGAGGATGGGTGAAGGGGAGGCAACAGGTGGAAGTCTGAAGGACCCGCACGTGCAAAGGCCCTGTGGTCGGAAGGAGCTACTGTGTTGGAGGGACCAATCCAAGTCTGATGTGGCTCGGGCATGCTGCGGAAGGGGTAGCTCAGGGGCCAGTAAACATGGCGTAACAACAGGGGCATTAGACGATCTGGTTATCTTTTTTTTTTTAAAGATTTTATTTATTTTTCAAGAGAAGGGAAAGGAGGGAGAAAGAGAGGGAGAGAAACAGCATTTTGAGAAATGTCAATCACTTGCCTCTTGTACCCATGCTGACTGGGACCGAACCTGCAACCCTGGCATGTGCCCTGAGCAGGGATCGAACCAGCGACCTTGCACTTTGTAGGATGATGCCCAACCCGCTGAGCCATGCTGGTTGGCGTGTGATCTGATTATCTTTAAATATCACTTTTCTGCCCTGGCTGGTGTGGCTCAGTGGATTGAGCGCTGGTCTGTGAACCAAAGGGTCACAGGTTCGATTCCTAGTCAGGACACATGCCTGGGTTCCAGGCCAGGTCTCTGGTAAGGGGGCGCGCAAGAGGCAACCACACATGAATATTTCTCTCCTTCTCTTTCTCCTTCCCTTCCCCTCTCTAAAAATAAATAAATAAATTTTTTAAAATTAAAAAAATAAAAATCCGTTTTCTGAGTGAAAGATGGACCACCAGTGAAGTAATCTACATCAGGGCCCTGTCCATCAAAGTTTCAAATGCTTTGACTCCTGTGTTTGCTCCCGAAGCATCTGACAAAGTGCCCAAAGGCACAGAACAAGGATGTCATTGCCACATCACTCACAATGACCCCAAACAGGACATGACCCAAGCCTCTGTCCAGGGGGAAGTCGTTCGATGCACGTGGAACGGTGCCATTCTCTGCGGCCTTTCCCGGGAGGGGCCGTGCTAGCGGGCTGGTCTGAAATGTCCTCCCAGGTATAATAAACACATTGTTTTTCTAAAAAGCAACTTGCGGTGTGGCGTGTATAGAGTTACTATTTGTGTAGAACACGTTGCATAGCTAGCTGTGTGTGCATGCACAGGGAAAATATCCTGAAGGATGTCTGAGAGCCTGGCAGGCATCGGTGGCGGCTGGGGAAGACAGCTGAGGGCCGGCGTAAGGGAGCGGCCCTTGGTTCTCACTGTATTCCTTCCTCCCTGCCCCGCTGGAGTTGTGAAGAGGACTCTGAAGCTAAGCCGGGCTGGGAAGGGCTTCTCCACTGAGGCCTGGGAAGGCTGTACCTCAGTCTATAGTATTCATAGGCTCACGTAGCCTAGGGGCCATAGCCTAGACCATGCAGCCTGGGTGTGTGGTGGGCTCTACTACCTAGGGGTGTGTAAGTACATTCTGGGATGTTCACACAATGGCAAAATCGCCTAAGGATGCGTTTCCCAGAACATAGCCTCGTCATTCAGGGGCACATGACTATAATTATGTTCCCTAGGCCGGGTTACGAAGGGGTCTAGGGTTGCATGCTAGCCACCCAAAGGTCAGCGTTGACATCCTGCAAGGTCAAACCCTCAGCCCGGAGCAAGTGACCCCTCCCGTGGCCCTGGTTGCTCCTCCGCGGAATGGCAATGACAATGCTCGCCCCATCAGGATCGGGGCGGGACCAAGAGCAGCCATCTACGTGCCAGCCCCAGCCCAGCTCCCAATCCGGGGGCAGGACTCCCTCCCTGCCCACCCCCCGCCCCGCCCCGCCATCGTGCCCACCCTCACGCCTGCTGGGAAGGGCACCCCCGGGTCCCACAGCCCCCTTTGAGAACCATGCCGGGGAGCACAGGCGAGTCTATTTCTGTGAAACAGCCCGCCTTGAAAAATGAACCCGTCCTGTGTTTCTTTTTGAACGATCAGGACACCTTTACCTTAAGAGTTGAGTTCAGGGGTAGCACGTAGAACCATGAACGGAAACTGATGTAGTGGAATTGCTATAAGAAGACAACAGGAACGTCACAGAGGCCCGTTGCGGAACACGTGCTGTACAGAATGAAACAGGAATAAGGACAGGCACAGAAATGAAGTAAATGTCTGCTTCGCCCTCCGTGGCCTCTGTCACAGGCCTTGGGGTCGTCGCGATGCTCCCACTCTCTGGGCCTGTGTTAGGGCTGAGGACGCACGTCCCTCACACTCACGCGCAGTCGCATACACGCTGCTCCGTGTTGGCACCGTCCATGCCAAGGGTGCTCAGCGCTGGGGAGAGACCCCGTCTCTCCTCCTCCCAGTTCTGCTGGGAATCCAGGGAGGACGCCTGGCACAGGGGGTGGCTGTGGGCACACTCTTCAGCTCCTGCACATGGCTGACCCTGCCGTGGGGCCAGAGTTGAGGGGCCCTGTTCCCCAGGCAACAAGGGGTCCCCATTGCTCAAAGGAGGGCTGGCCGTGGACAAACTCGGACGGGACACACCCCTCTCTCCTCCCTGCTGGTCCTCAGTAGGGGGCTGCTTCAAGGTCAGAGGCCAGGCTGGAGGACCTGCGGGTTAAAGGGAGACGTGGGGGTGGACCCTGAGCTGGAGGAAGGTGGAGGCTGGGGTGCAGAGGCTTCCTCAGCATCCCCGGAAAATATGGCACCCCTCCATGGGGCCCCTTTCGGAAGCCGGTCTGCCCAGCCTTCTTCGGCCCCAGACAGAACTGGTGGCACCCCT